GATGCTCAAAAACTGTTGGGTCACTTTCCCCTTCTTACACAAAGAAAACAAAACAGTGTAAAGCCATGTGAAGATTGCTGGATTGTGCAGGTAACCCAAGCAGTGTGGTAATGGCCAGCTGTGGTCTTGATTCATTAGGGTAAGGTGTGGTGTTACAGGTGAAGCTCTGGAAGTTCAGCATAGCCCCCATAACACAAAAAAAGCTGGGAGGTGTATAAAGCTGTGGCCAACTGAAGGTGGATGATCACTGTAAAATCCATTGGAAAAAAAAATTCATCATTAAGGCTCGTATTTTAACGGCATAAAAATCATACATAGCAAAGAAACTGCTGACTGTGGTGTGCCAAACCATAAGCACCTGTTTCTAAGGCCTTGTAGAAAGGTAAGTGGTGGTGGCAGATTGAATGGCAGATTAGAACCCTTCAGGCATGTGGACACAGCTGACTTTAGTGGATCACGTTTTGAGAGGGAAAAGACTGGCACAGGCAGTGAGATTTCAAATGAATTGCTGAAGATGTCTCTCTCTCTGCTTCTCATCCTGACTTATTATCTCCTTATTCACTTTGTTTTTCCTACCCTACAGTTCCTGGATGGGAGAATCAGGGAAGGTCTGTGCATCTCACAGTGAGGATTCCTGGTAGCTGTGTGGGGTATTTGGGGCCTTTGCATTTGGAAAGCCAAAGGACATATAGAGTATCTTGTTCTTTACCACTGATCTATTGCCAGGACTGCAGACAGAGAGGGCCCACAAGTATCACAATTTCTCATCTACATCTTTGTGCACGAGGAAGTTAAAACACATCTTCTACTGCCCAAACAGCTGTGTGTATGTATTGGAAGTGAATTCAAAGCTAGCAAGGCAAGACAAAAGTAAGAACATTGCCAGGGTAGCTTGTGACTAATAGCTACTGGCACTTGACCCAGTTTTTATTTACAACAGATTCATGGGAAATCTTCTAGGCTTGTTTCAAAACAATGCCAATTAATAAATGTTAGAATTAGCCCTACATAGTTGAACAAGTGAGAAAGATTAGATCATATACCAGAAAGTCTCAAAACTGGGAATTTCTTACAATCCCTTAATTTCTAAGTTTAAAAAAATGTTTGTGACATAGTCTGAGTGTACCAGTAATGAAATGAGATTTCCTAATGGCTTGATGATAAAGCCTCTGCTGAGCCTTGGCTTCAATGGGGATCTAACTTACAGAGTATGTTCTCAAGGGAAATCATAGAATTATAGAACAGTTTGTGTTGAAAGAGACCATTAAAAGTCATCTAGTCCAACCCTCCTGCAATCATCAGGCACATCTTCAACGAGATCACTTTGCTTAGAGCCCTGTTCAACCTGGCCTTGAATGTTTTCAGGGATGGGGCATTGACCACCTCTCTGGACAAGTGTTCCAGTGTTTTGCCATCATCATTATAAAAAATGTCTTCCTTCTGTCTATTTTAAATCTACCCTATTTTAGTTTAAAGCCATATCCCCTTGTCCTATTGCAACAGGCCCTACTGAATAGCCTGGCTCCATCTTTCTCACAAGTACCACCTTTAAGTACTGACTCCTCAGTGTTCATAGGAGAGGTGCCCCAGACCTTTGATTGTCTTTGTGGTCTCCTCTGAACCTGCTCCAGCATGTCCATGTCTTTCCTCACTGCAGACCCCAGATTTGGACACAGCATTCCAGGTGGGATCTCACAATAGTGGAGTAGAGAGACATAAGCACCTCCCTTGACCTGCTGGCCACCTGTTTTTGATTCTTTGAATCTGCCACCTTAACAGATGGCAACAAGGTCCAGAAAAGCTTTTTGAATGTTTTTCCAGTATTAAATGAATGAGATAACTTGAAGAACTCACTTGGAAAATGTGTTTCAGAAATAATTCTGAGCAAAGTGGTCTAGTGAAAAGTGTCCCTGCCCACAGCAGGGAGGCTGGAACTAGATGATCTTAAAGGTCCCATCCAACACAGACCATCCTATGATTCTATGACTAGAACTGATCAGCATGTCCATCATCTTCCAGTGAATGCAAGAATGTGCATTCTTCCTCTCCCTCTAGTGGGTTTGAAACTCATTGAAATGCCATTTCCTAAATGTGGAATAACATTATTCTAACTCTGAGTTTACATAATTTTCATTATTATTTTTGGTGATGGCTATGATGAAGATGTCTGTTATTGTTCTGAAGAAGAATACCATGTGCTTATTCTGGCTTTTAGTTTTTGGAAAAATACACTGAACTCCTCAAATGTTGTTTTTCTCTGGAGACAAATCACTTGGCATATATAAGTGACTTTGTTTCCTACCCCAGTTTATGGACAAAAGTTTTTTATCTTTGAAAAGGACAACCAGAAGCCAAGAACAAAGTGTTATTTATGATTCATGTTCTGCCTCTCAGTTAACTCTCTGTGAACAAATATTTAACTACAACAATAAAACTACAACAATAGGTGACTCCCGAGAAAGTGATCTGGGAAGTCTCTTATACCCTCTAACTTCTTAAAACCCTGTGAACTGAAGTCTCTGATTTTGGCTTCCTAAATCAACCTGCAATTTCAAAAGCCATGGTCATATGTTCTTTTTCCCTTTAACATTTCAGTGGTGCTTTTAAGGGCACTCAGTGGGAAATAGGGGACATGGGTTCAGCACTGTCCTTCTTTCCTTGGTCTGAGGAGATTTCTTTTTGAGTCTGTTTCCAAGAGACTGCAGTAACAGACAGGCTCCAAAATTCTTCCCCCCTCCATATAAAATGACTACTGTTATGCACAAAGAAATGAAAGAGCCTGAATTCAAAGGGCAAGAGAAGCCCTGATTCTCTGGTTTAATGCATGGTTTCCCGAATGCCATTTTTTGGCTACCACTGCTGGAAGCAGCTTTCTGTGTTCCCCCCGAGAATAAATTCAGGTCTGTAAACATCATCACCTGAACCATTATCATAATTTTCTCCCAAGCCCAGCTCTGTTTGCCTAATTGCATTCCCACCATTCAGCTACAAAACCCCGTCACTCCTTAAGACCCCCAACACGTAGATGAAATCTCTGTATATTGTTCTCTATGCGTTCTCCATCCTAAACTGGTTCTCCAAACACAATGCCCCAGACATCTAAGGCACATCCCTGTCTCAACAACCCCATTCCCCTCACCTTCCCCAAATGACATTTTTCCCATGGTCTTTTTAGAAATACATGTCCCAGACTAATTAATTTCCTGTAGGCACATGAGAAGAACAGCAGGGGAGGTCTGGGAGCTGGAGACAGCTTCACACATCAATAAGTTACTGGCCAGCCAGTGACAGGAGCAGCTGTGTGAGGGTTTTTACTCTGATGTGTAAAATATCCTTGACACAGGCAAAACTAGAAATTGTTGAGACTGTTTTTGCCTCGCTAACACGCAACACAATGTGGGAATATCCAGCCTACTGATTCAGACTTTCATCTGGCAAAGGGCAGGTTTTTTTTTCCGGTCCTTGATCCTTAGGTCATGTCTGCTTCTTATCCATCAGCTTTGTGTAAAATGTATATGCAGCTTTCAGCATGAAGTCACTCCAAGCTGTTCCCTCCTGGCTAAGTGTTTAAAGTTTTTCTTCTCTGCAGAGAGCTTTTTTGTCCCTGATTTAAGTCCTATGAAATTCCATGAGCTTTATTTGAGTTTGCTCAGTAGTACATCAGAGCAAACATCACTGTGAAGTTTGTCTTGTAGCTAACAACTGCCTTGGAATTATCATTCACTGCTCTGCTGTAATGTTCAGCATTCATATGCTAATCCATTTGTGGAGACTGCTATGCCTGACTGTATGGAGAATTTTGGAGCATTGTTTATTTCTCTCCAAATACAATATTTTTCATATTTTTTTCTGCATTATCACTGGTACCATGACAGTTTCTAATTTTCCACTCTGTAAAATAAAAGGTTCTTCATAAAGACTATACATGCACGTATATACATATATGCTGATCTTTTCCTTGCTGAATAGATCAGACCATGCCATCCATATACCAGTTGAAATATCATGAACTGCAAATAAATGCAATGGCTTGGGGTTTTAAATCAGTTAATGCCAATCAGTATCACAGAGGGGAGAATGAGAACAACAATTTCTAGATTAAAAGGTTCTGCAGAGGGATTTGGACAGACTGGATCAGTGGGCTGAGGATGGTTGTGTGAGGTTCAACAAGGACAAGCGCCAGATCCTGCAACTCCAGGCAGTGCCACAGACTGGGGCAGAGTGGCTGGAAAGCTGCCCAGTGGAAAAGGACCTGGGGGTGCAGGTGACAGTGACTGAACATGAGCCAGCTGTGCCCAGGAGGCCAAGAAGGCCAAAGGCAGCTGGCTTGTACCAGCAATAGTGTGGCCAGCAGGAGCAGGGCAGTGATTGTCCCCCTGTACTGGGCACCGGTGAGGACACACCTCAAATCCTGTGTTCAGCTTTGGAACTCCACTTCCAGAAAGACACTGAGGTGCTGGAGTATGTCCAGGGAAGGGCAGCAGAGCTGGGGAAGGGTCTGGAGCACAGGTCCTATGAAGGGAGCACAGCTCCCTGAGGGAGCTGGGAGTGTTTAGCCAGGAGGTTTGGGGGAGACCTTATCACTTTCTAAAACTCCCTGAAAGGAGGTGGTAGCCAGGTGGGGGTCACTCTCTACTGCAGGGAAAAGTGACAGGGTGAAAGGAAATAATGACAAATTGTGGCACTGGAGGTTTATATTGGGTAGCAGGAAATCTGTCTTCACAGAAAGGCTTGACTAGCATTGGAACAGGCTGCCCAGGAAAGTGGTGGAGTCACCATCTCTGGAAGTGTTCAAGAAACATGTGGATTTTACATTGTTTGGTGATAAACATGGTGATGATGTTAGGTGGATGGCTGGACTTGATAAACTTATCTTAAAGGTCTTTTCCAACCTTAATGGTTCTGTGAGTCTATGATTCACTGTAAAAAAAAAGATAGACTGCATTTCACAGATACTTTTCTCTATCGCCCATTCCATTTTTTTCTTTTTCTCCCCACAGAAACCTGTGGATTCTGATTTTCTTGAATGCTGTAAATTAGCTCTGACGGAATGAACAGCTCCAACGAAAAAAACCCACACAAATTTTCTGAGAAGACGGCAAAGGAACTAGAAAAAACAGCTTGACTTGTAGGTTCTCACCTGACCCATGATTGACTCTCTGCTAATGGAACACTAAATTTAAGGCACCTTTCTATATCAGGTACTGCAATTACTCAGCATGTCACTGTTTGTACAGTTAACTTTTTTTTCTTTAGTATCCCACTATACAGTGGGACAGAGAAATTTAATTTCCATCCAATAGTTTATTAAAACACTCAAATACCATATATAAGGATTTAACCAATTTTCTTGCAAGATATTGTGACACAATATGCATTGTATGTTCATTGTGTATGACAGCCCAAGCCTGGCTGAAAAAACTCAAAAAACTGTTAGCAGCCCATTCACACTCCACCATCCCCTGCAGGGCAGGGCAGCTGCCTGGTTCCACCTGACAGATGAGGGTGAAGTGTTTATTTGTGCTATTTCCAAGGGGCACTGAAGCTGCAGCTCTCTAACTGCCATCCTTTCTGCAGCTTCAGCAAGTTTCTGCTGCAGTTATTTAAGCTGGAGATTCATTTGCCACCATGAGGGCAAATTTCAAAAGGAAATGACAGTGTAAGCTTTATCCTCACTACAGGCACGTGCCTCTAGCACAGACTAACTCCCTCCAGCAAGAGGGCTTTTATCTGTAAATCTGATATAAGGACCAAAGACAAAATAAACTATGCAAAGATCTTTGCATTGAAAAAATCCAGATTATTTTTTCACATGTCAACATTTGGCCCCAAAAAGCTGATATTCACCAGTTACACTATGGCAGTCTACAGCTACTTATTTGAAAGCCATACAGCAACTTGTACAGTGCCCAGAAAAAGCTCCAACCTTACAGACTTCTCTTCTTGCCTCCTACATGGATTTTGGTAAGGCAGAAATTCCAGGTTCAGGTCTGCACCTGTACTTGTGCATAATGCATCACAGTGTCGCAATTATTTGTATATTCAGAGCCATTTCCATGTGACTAGAGTGTCTTACTAATTTTTTTTCCAGATCTGAGGATGTTTGTGTTGCTGTACATTACAAGTTTTGCCATCTACACAAGTGAACAACCTCTTCAAAGCCAGACCAAAGGAGAAAATTACTACACCAGATATATCTGCAGCATCCCAGGTTTGCCAGGCCCTGCTGGCCCCCCTGGAGCCAGCGGATCCCCAGGGCCACATGGACGTATTGGTCTTCCAGGAAGAGATGGTAGAGATGGCAGGAAGGGAGAAAAAGGTGAAAAAGGGAGTGCAGGTATTTAATATTTGTGTAACCTAACACAGTAGTACAAGAAAGCAAGACCTTTCATCATCACTGTTATCATCATCATTATACATAGATATATCTCTATATCTATCTATCTGTCTATATGTATGTATATATATATATATTTATATATGATGAGTGTGTGTATGTGCCTGTGTGGGTTTAAGTGTGATGCATATGTAAATATAGTGAGAGTATGCATGGATATCAGTGTAAAGAAATGTAAATGCACAACTTTTCTTCACACGGATGCTAAGAAAAAAAATGGAAAGAATGAAGCATGAATGGTGTCAAATAAATAGCCCCACCTGTGCCTTTAGCCAGGTGTAAAAGACCAGCAGGTGCTTAGGTATGCACTAAAAATACTCTATTTGTAGGAAATATTTATTGCACAAGTATCACTATGTCATGCTGCTGTCTCTGCCATCAGTAGTGCCTGATAGTTCCAGCAGCAATAGATTGATTACATATAACATTCTTTAATGTGTAATCAAGACTCATGAAGATAAGTAGGAATTACTGGCATTCCTTTTGCAAACTTACTAGAAAACTTTGAAAGTATTTCTAGACTATTTTGAAATTCTGACCATGTTTTTCTTGTTTGTTCAGGCACACACAGTAGAGCACACAATAATTTACTGAGGTGATATATACAACAATTAACTAACTTAAAATGTTTTTGAAGGTTTAAGAGGAAAGACTGGGCCATTAGGACCAGCTGGAGAGAAAGGAGACCAAGGTCAGTCTGGTAAGAAAGGACCTGAAGGATTGACTGGTGCCAAAGGTGAAGTAGGTCCAGCTGGACCACCTGGACCTAAGGGAGATAAAGGAGAGCGAGGAGAGCCAGGAGTGCCAGGGGTCTGCAAGTGTGGAAAGATAGTGCTGAAATCTGCCTTTTCTGTTGGCATCACCACGAGCTACCCAGAGGAAAGACTACCAATTGTATTCAATAAAGTCCTCTTCAATGAGGGGGAGCATTACAACCCATCCACAGGAAAGTTTATTTGTGCCATCCCAGGGATTTACTATTTTTCTTACGACATCACCTTAGCAAACAAGCATCTGGCTATTGGGCTGGTTCACAATGGCAAGTACAGGATCAAGACTTTCGATGCGAACACCGGCAACCATGATGTAGCTTCTGGATCCACAGTGATATACCTTCAGCCAGAAGATGAAGTGTGGCTTGAAATCTTCTACTCTGACCAAAATGGTCTCTTTTCTGATCCAACGTGGGCAGACAGTTTGTTTTCTGGATTTCTCTTATATGTTGATACAGATTACCTTGATGCTTTATCAGATGAAGATGAGCTCTGAAGCAGATATCAAATGACATTCAAACTGGAGGCCCTACAAAGGAGCTCATTCATCTGTGTGGGGAAAACAAAGTTGAAATAAAAAAAAAAATCTGGAAATTCATTCTAGCTTTGATTGGAACAAAATCTGAGCTCGTAAGGATGTTTCTAAAATCTAGGATGGATTTTTTAACAAACAGCAGGGATATCAAAATGAACTGTAATTAACATGAGACTGCATCACTCCAGGACTGACTCTTCCCTAAAATTACATTTATAATAGTATTTAAACAAATTTAAGATACTGTACATTGGATTTTATATAAAATGTATTAATTTGCAATTTAGAATGGCTATTTTGTATATTACATTAAAGTAAAATTGAACAATTCACTGCAATATCATCTTTGGTCATTTTAAGACAGGCAATACATTAAAAAAAAAAGATGGGAGAAGAATAAAATAGGAATGACTGTTTCAGGGTGCCACTGCATAGGTCACAAGAACAGTCCCATCTGATATTCACACCAACAAATATCATTCATAGGTAACCAATCTCACAGTAAGTACATGAGGATTTGTACTAGATGAGGACTTCTCAATAGCAGCCATAAAAGTCTAGAACAAAGCTGTCAAACATATAAACAAATTAAAATCTGGAAAATCTGGAAACTTGGAGATAGTATTCAGTGGGTATTTTCAGTGTAATTCCAAGTGTCTTTGCTATTCTTTAAATGCCATTTTTTATCTTTATGAGAAATGTGGGAAAAAAATATAAACTTTTTGCTGAAGGTAATTGTGGATGACCAAAAACAACACTAATCAGTCAATTATATGAAACAAAGTGAGTCACATCATTAAAGCAGAAATTGTATTTCAATATGGCCAAATGCAATTAAATAAATGTGGGTCACACACAAGACGAAAAACTGCATTCAGCAGATCAGTAAACTTGGAAAAATGTACATGGGACCTCATGGATCATCATCTAAATAGGAGTAATAAAAGTAGGCTGTTGCTACCATCCTTTGGATGTATAATAAATGGAATTGAAAGTAGAGATGAATAGTGGTTACATAGGAAGAAATTACTTCTGTCAATGTTTCAAAACCTTGAAAGTTGATAAAAAATGTTTATACTTCTATTCATGGGGCTTACTCAAGACATGTAACAAGGTCAATTTACTTTTCTTGCCAATAAGGTTAGAGGTAATTTAATCACCACCTGCACCCATACGGAGATAAAATATCTGGTAGTACCTGGCCCTTCCCTCTATCAAATAGGAGCACAGCAAGGTCCATTGGTGAGAAACCATACCAATCCCCACTGGAAATGAGGAATCCATTTTAGCAGGGGCAGCAACCAATCATTGTAAAAATATCTAGGAACATCACGAGTTCTCCGGCATTCAACACCAGTCAAGACTGGCAATCTTTCAATGGGTCCTTTTGCTTTCCAACCATTTACAATCTTTTATTCATCTCAGATTTACAGAGACCTGCTATTTCTAACAGTTATTCAGACAATGTTAAATGTTAGTGGTCTGTGTAGCACAGCTCTGGAACCCACTTTAGCTATGACCAAGGCAGATGGAAATTTCTAGTTTTTTTCTGTGTATTTGATGGATTAAGAAAGTTACAATGGATTAAGAAAGTTACAAGCAGACCAACTGACACAAAGGTGCTGCTGAGGTTGCAGAACCAGCAGGATGGTTATGTATGGAACACCAGCCTGCTCACTGTGTACCCTTGCCCCCTCTTCCTCCCACATCAGCATTCATGGCTGTGAGTGCACGATGCTTTATGCCTTATGCAGTGAACAGGTGCAAAGCCCTGACCACAAATCAAACTGGCAATGCTTGTACAACCATTATGACAGTGAGAGATGTCTGATAGAAGACAATAGTACATTATTTTTCTAACTAGACACCTAATTTATTAGTGTCACACAAGGGCTTCTTTCTGTGAAAAATATGGAAAAGAACACTTGGAGATTCGGTTTATCATCCTGCTTTACAATCATTTATAAATCTGCAAATTAAGGACAATGTGAGTGCAAAATGCAGTCAAATCATAACTTACAATTATGATTGATGGTGATGCCTCATAGCCATCAGTGCCTCTCTGAGCATTTCCCAGTGTTGCCTGCACTGAATTCCACAGGACAAAACAAAGGTCATGTCTAGCCCATGACTGCCTGGAAACATAATTCAATAAATGCAGGACTGGACCCAAAATATGTATCATGCAGAAAAAGCAACTAAAATAAATTTTTAATTATATGATAACCTTATAAAATATGGAAATAGGTTGATGACATTTGAATCAGTATAAAGTTTATGTTAGGAGTAACATATTAGTTTTATTAGAATTAGAAAATCTGATAAACCCAGCCTTAAGGAAAGAGTACGACTGATTTTCTCCAGACTCCAAAGAAATGTATTGTAGTTATAATACATCTGGAAATTTTCAGACAAAACTAATTTTTCTCAATTAAATGGAGAAAATATACAGCTTTATAGTGAAATATTGCTGGTGTAATCCTAACTATAAGCAAAGTGCTCCCATGCAAAAATTAATCCAATATAAAAGAGGTATTTCAACCACACCCATGCTGAAAATGACACCATGGGAATAAGTAAACCAAGACTTACTGCTTTCCTTTTCTTAGCAATTTTAGATTTATGTTTGTACAATTATAGAAAAGTAACATTAATTTCCCAAAGTTTTCCCATTTGGATTCTACACTTTTTTGAACAGTTTGATATTTTGGCATGAAGAGTTAAAAATAATTCATTCTGTTGGATTATTTCTATAGGTTTTGGCAAGAAGAATACTTCTACTACACATATGGACGATATATATATACAAATACCATGTGTCCCTGCCCTCATTAAGGGTCTCAAGACATTATCCTAAAGTAAATCATTGCTGTTGCTAGTGTATTATTTTAAAATATATCAATTTTGATGACATGATACTGCATTTGGGGTATTCATCTGTCTAAATTTGAATTTATATGGAAAATACCTTGGGTTGATATCTTCCCACAATTCATACCAGTACATGGGAAGGTCTGGTTGGTTTCAAAACATTGTAGGAGCAAAACAGCAAAACTTCTTCATTATCAAATTTGAAATTAAGCAATGATTTCTACACAATATATTGGTCATTCTGCACATGCCATAATGACATATAAAATTAGGCATCCAGATCAAATTAGTCACCTAGACTTGGCCTACAGTCCCCAGAGAGAAATAAGTGTCACCAGGAGAAGCTGCCAGGAGGAAGCATGTCTTCACTGCAGTACCAACTCTTGGGCTTCCTGATCAAGGCTGCAAGAACTTGTACAAATCTCAAACCATCAGGAAACCATCAAACAATATTAAGAACATCAGTATTCCTGAGATTCTTAAGTAAGAGTATATATATATATTTACTTGGGATATGTGTATGTAAAGATAAATAAGTAAAAATAAAGTTATTTGAAAGAAAACAATTCTCCACAGGCTTCTACTCTTTCAGACTTTCCATATACTTGGTGGAATGACATTAAGGAAGAAGTTAGTCACATGTTCCACTGCTGAATATTTTTAACCTAGATAATTATTTAAACATTTATCTACACTTTCAAATTTTTATGAGTATGTCATATAGAATAAACACTTTCACTTTTTGACTACTGGTATTCATGTTCATATGGTTAGGCTGTTATACATTTTCTTCAGGAGCAATAGGTCCTCAATGTTTTACAATGCTGAGACAATATAGAAGAATTAATTACTAATGGACATCAGTGCTGAGAACATTATCTACGTTCTTCAAATCTTTTTAAATCTACCTAACACCATTTAGATACTATTAGGATAAGCAAAAATATACAAAACTGGAAGCAACTTATTTCATTTCCTACCAAGTATGTTACATTGGTTGTTGCACTTCATTTAATACTCTATTTACCTTCCACAGCTCACCCACTAGGTTCTGTTCATATTCATACACCAAGATATTTGCTGAATAAATTAGTTTTCACTGATTGGTTTATTTATTGATTTATTTACCTGTTGGCAGGTAATTAATATTCAGAATAATTATACTAATGCTGTACTAAGCAGTTTGGTCAGCAGGAACATCAGTTGCATGTGGAAATGGGGCTTGTTTTGGATATGTCATTCAGTAGCTGATGAGTCCCATCCAAGAAATAATACATGAAAGTAAACAGGAAAAAATAGAGCTGAGAAAGCAATATACCACTATCTTTACCAATGAGTAATGCTTTCAAGAAGCAAATTAGTCCTTTTAGCATAAACTATCTAGACTTCAGCTCAGGGAGCATTTAGAGGTCACATACATTTTTCTGTAACTCCTTAGGTCAACACTCCCAACTGAGATTATGTCAGCATTTCGGAATTTCAGTAGCATAATTCTTCCTCACATCCACGAAGAAATTTCAAAATATTGTCATGAAATCCTTGGTCACTGATACCCGGTTTTGTCCTAGCTGCATACCTCAGACCAATTAATGAAACTTACTACTGAAGGGAAAAGAAAAATTAATTAGACATATTACACATGTATCTTTTAATAGCAAATATTCACAAATAGAAAGGTGTCTTGGATTATTTGGCTCATATTTCTCAATTTTGAGTATAATTTTTTTATAATTTTGGCAGCTACCTGCTTGAAGAGGTGTAAGGAGATTTCTCCTCCATGCAGATTGTTCTTGCAGCAGCAAGTATTAGTGTAAAATTTCTCTTACCTGACTTTAATTTCTAAAAGTTCGAAGAACACTGTGTGGGTTAAATTATTTGTTGTCTCTCCTTTTACCAGTGCAAAGAAACAGATGGGGTAAATCTGTGTTTGGGTACCCTGTATTAGAGACTTATATTAAGAAAGAAGGAATCAGGAGGTACCCATGGCTTCACATCACCTGCATCTAAGTTGCTAACTTAGGGTAGCCTTTAACTTGGAGATGGCAGCAGTTAAATAAGAAGTCTGCTCTTCAAGAACAATCTGCTAAGTGGAAAAATTGGCATAATATAATTTGGCAATTCATATGTCTCAAAATTAGAAAGAAGATGTGGATTGATGAGAAGTATCCTGATAATGATGGAAGTGTCCTCTTGGAAGATTTTCCATAAAGTATTGATCAGGTTCCTCCTGGGACAACTTCAACTGAAGTAACCTGGCTGGTCTCCAGAAAATTTTGTAATATATTAGGATGGGCTAGCCATCCTCTCATGCCTCCAAATTCAATACACATAAGTACATAAAAAATATTGACATTTTTAAGGAGACTTAAGTGAATCCTAGAGTGATTCTACTTACACCAAAGTAAAAAATAATAAATTTGTTTCTTTTTAGCTTTAAAGAATCTGTCCTAAATCCTAAACCAAATTAAAAATATAAGGCAGAATTTGTAAAATCATCCCTGTGGTAGAATAACCTTGTTTATGACATCTTAACAAAGGGACAAAAATATTGAATTCTTGAAAAATACAAATGAACCATGGTTCTCAGTGGGCTCTTAAGTGATTTTTTTTGCAAGAAAAATGTGTGATTTTTTAGAAATGAGTGAGTTGCATGAAGGAAATGTATCAGCAGTGATTTTTATTTCACTGCTTGCAATGAAGTGTTTATCTCTAGGCTCAGAAGAAAGTGAAAAGGACTTAAAACTTTTGAGCTGAACAACAATCTCTTTCATCATCTGAAAACTTTCCTACCACTGATGCTGATTTCCTTTCCATGCTCCACCTGCCTTCATGCACATTTTGTCAGACGTTCTGATGTGTGAACACAGACTTCTAAACTGCATGTGACAAATTACAAGAAAAGTTGAGATTTCTGTCATGTTGGAGTAAGGTGTTGTAAGTAAGTTTAAAAATAATTAAGATGAGCAGAGTTGGTTCTTTCTTGTTTGTAACTTCCCTGAAACTGGGATCACTGTAGAGTTGCACACAATACCTAAATTCCTACTCTAAGAACACAGCAACATGTACTCTTATTCTATAAATGCTCTATGTGGCTGGTAACACTTGCTGTTTCCCTTCTGTTGTTTTTTACAAATTTTGACTTTGATTCTAGGCAGGCAATAAGAGGTGTATATGTCAAAGCAAACCTTACATTATACTCAAAGCCTGAGAAATAACTCCATGGCTCATTGTTCCCTGTTGAGTTTTAAAATGTTTGAACTCTGAACTAGGGGCCTTTGATGTCACTGCCCACTCTGGGGCATCCTGCACCGTGGGCACTCCAAGCTGCCATCTACTGCGCCTGTTCTAAAGCCAAAACAGCAATTAATGGCCAAATGTGACAGTGTCACACCTAACACTGCAGAGCAGCTCACAGCACCTTAGTGCAGCACTAAGTCTGCAGCCCAGTGTGATCAATGGCATGAGGCTGGCCATTTTTCATAAGGCTGACCAAGATAAATGACTTGTTCTCCACCCCAGGAAGCACATGTGGTTGTGATTGGGCATGTCTCCTGTGAGCAGAGCCATTGTACTGACATGTGTTTTTAAGCAGCTTTCCATCCTGTTAAGCAAAGGACTGACTGCTCCTTTAGGGTCTCACAGTAATGTTCTTTACATAAATGCTGTTCATATTTGTCCATTATTTAAACTGTTTGTACAACTGTTTCTGATACTGGCGTATATTGTTGGGACACAGACTTATTAGCAAAACAAGATCTTGAACCTGAGTTCTTGCCAAAATTTTGTATGAAGTTTCACCCACTGGATCATTTCCACAGTCCCACATGCAGTGATTCTTAGCAGATAAAAGAGATGTGTGCTGTGCATGTTACCCCAAGAAACCTGTCCCCCTATTACATATCTTTTCTGAAAGCTTTTGTCATATCAGATGTTTCTAGCTATGACAGTTCCTCTTTTTACAAATAAAAATGCATACTCCTAATCTCTTTTAACTACTATGTTTACTTCTTCCCATGGTTTCCTTCTTAGTATAGTATTCAGAAAGGAGAAGCTATTTATTCATCTATTTTCACATGATTCCAACTACTAAAACTTCACAAATAATAGACCCTCAGACGTCATAGGGACTGTTTATATACAGACAATTATAAATAGATCTAGTAACTCCATTTAGTAGTCTCAATTTTGTTTGCTCTGATCATACTAGAGATATTAATACACATGTTAACATAAGAAATTATTTTATTAATAATCCAGTGCAGCAGAAAATACTCCCCTCCAGACTTGACAGGAAAGCTACAAAAATTGTAGCTACAAAAATTAGGGATGGTATATAAGACAATCCACATTTCTACAAACCATCTCACAGTGCTGACATTTCTGCCATTCCTAGTATCAGCATATGCTGGTTGTGAGCATTTAACAAGCAGGTAAACTATCTCTCCTCTGCTTCTCCAACAAGGGCTTCAAGACTGTGATTCTCTTTAAGCAGGTTCTAGAACAACTAGCATAGACTTCATATCCTTTTTTTTTCTGCTACAGGAATATTAAAGTATATTGATAACTCTAGAAAGTTATGATTTGTCTTCTTACTCTGAACATTCACTAATACTTTGTTTAATCCTGGGGTGGCAAAAAGCCTGTTAGCCAATAACAGCTTCTGAGAGATGATATCTTTTTAACTCTGCCATGTTTCCTGCAATTTTTCCCCCAAACAACAAGCTAAGAACTTTGCTGAGACTGATGCTGATTTGTAAAGGTTCCCTGTAAAGAATAATGCAGTCTTGTTTCCTTGATGCATCTCCAGTAGTTACTCCAAGTACTTTAATGCATTAGAACACAGAAAGCACTCGGAAGACAACTGGCTACTAACCATCAACTTCAAGGATTCATCCTTAATGAAGTTTCCAGGGATTTTTTTTCAGAGTGAAACTAAGGGTTTCTAAACTAACCTAAAAAAATATTTACTTGCTGGAATGCTGTCATATAGTCTGAATTAGAGATTTAACACCTCTCTGTAGTCAACAGGGTGAACCAGTCTCTTCCATAAATGATCTGTATTTAGGAATCACTGCTCTGGTTCACACAAGTCCCAAGAAGGTCTGTGCCACTCTTGCACTTACTTTAGAAGCAGTACACAGAAATTAAGGCGGATAATTTAACAAAGTTAGATGCTTAAAGTTAGGTTGAGTGACTATTTTATTGTATTTCAGTCTGAAATAACCATCCTTGACCCTGTAAAAATATACTGTGGATATTTGCTTTTTAAAATCACTGCAGTAACTGAAAAGGTTTATTGGAGCTGCATCCTCTCCATATTTTATTTATGATTTTCCTTTTACCATAGATGAAATTGTTTACAAAAAGAAGTTTGCCAGAAGGGTTTTAGTGGTTTAAGCAGGAAATCCGACTCTTTCTCTTTAAGAGCACAGCTGGGGCACTGCTTTTAGGGGGAGTGTGGTGTTTGGTTCTTGTGTGTGATCCAAGAGCTGCTGTACAAGAAAACCCAGGTAGGAAGCAAACATTTTCCTTAAGCTCTGTTTCAGTGTCACTGCATTTAGTGTACTTTCATGAATGAGACAGATTTCAGTAATACAAAATCCTCAAAATTGTTTTCTAGGTACATTTGATGCAATAATTTTTTTTAAAGAGCAGTGTGAGAAACCTCTGTGTTTCTGTTGTTAGTTTTCAGTGCTAGGAAACCACCTCTGAGCTAGTGGAGAGCTTTATACTTCTTGCATCCAGTTGTTTATTAAATTTTAAAGTGTCTGTTATAGTACTTAACTTCAAGAAACACTACCAAATTGTTAAAGAAAGCTGCCATAAAGCACTTCTTCAATGTTGTCAGTGTTCTACGTTTACATGTGCCTTTAGGAAAGACTGTTTAAATTTGATACATAAAGCTTGATATGAAAAAGAGATTTATGTGCCAAGTGATAAAAAGGCTGCTGCTCCTTGCAGTGCTGTACTTTTTGTGCCGTGAAGAGTTTAATGAACCTTGCCAACAGCAAGGAAATTTGGCCATTTTTAGATACATAACCCTTAGCCTGGTGAGAGATACTGAGGGAAGTGGTGCTGAGGCAAATGCACAGCTGGTTTGGGAGGGAGTTACATTTGTCTGGGAAAGCCACTTGCTTAGGGTGAGTTCAGCTCCCTGTGCTAGTTGAGATATATTAGGAAATCTGATAATACTTGAGGCCAGTAGCTGCTAAAGCTAAGCCTCAGGCAGGAGATAACTTCTCCTTTTTCATTTGGTACCTCCTAAGAGATAAGGAGGGATATGAAGATCACTCTGTATCTTTTAGGCTGGGCTGGAAGTGCTTTTTGAAGCAAGTATGCATGAGCCTGTACACACCCCGTACAAAGAAGTGACAAGGAGACCACAGGTGACCTCTGTCAGCCTCAGTTAGCCCTCTTGCCAAAGAAGATTTAGCCAGGTACACAAAAAGGCCCCACATTTCACTCCCACAAGTTGTTTCATGGAGATTTTAGTATCCAGAATAAATGATGCTGTTGTGATTTACTCCATCTGTGAGCACAGTACACTGGCCCTTAGGTTTTGCAGGGGTGCAGCCAGGCTGGCACAAGCTTTGTGCCAGGAACAAGTTACAGCCATGGCTGGTTTTCCATCTGGGAAAGGCACAGCAGGACAGGATCCTGCAGGAAGAGCAGCAACAAACTGAGTTGTGTAGATATAAATGTAAAATATAAACAATGCTTGTTACCAAATGCAGCTACTTTGTAGTGCAAACAAAACCGAAGTAATTTGGTGGGTAGAAGTGATTTCAGTCCAGTGCTGAAAGCTGAGAGAAAAGGGATTGAACACATCCTTGTGATCTGAATATTGCAGTGGGCTTTATGGATCAAAGATGGGTGTTCATGTAAAAAAAAAAAAAAAAAAGTGTTCATACAGCAGGTACTGGCCACATTATTCACTATTATATGGAATTATATGTAATTCTCTATTATATGGAAATGGACACATATTTTTAATCATTCCTTTATGAAAAAAAAAAAAAAAAAGTTTTATTAACATACTACACCTGTATGTTAAATAGTGTAATTTAAGTGACTGGGGGAAAAACATCAGGTGGAACGGCTCTCATGATCATTATGCACATATTGAAGCATATTTGTTATGAGTAATTCCTGTGTTGCTTGTGACAGCCAGGAATCAGCCACTGCCCATGTGAACTGCAGTGAAGAATCCCTGTGATAATCATGGGGGTTAGTGTCCAGTTCACAGCGACAAATATGTTACGTGATCATTTTTCACTGAGACTAATAGGAATCTTTTATATATATATATATATATATATATATATATATATAGCTGTTAAAATGAAATAAGTAAGCCAAGACTCTCTTTTAAGCTCTTCTCACCTGTTAGTACCATTCTAGTTCTTTCAGATCTGCACAATTAATTTCTGTGCAAATACACTGACACTCTAAGTACCACTGCTGGAACTACGCACCCTTAATGTGTTCTGGATTTGTGGGGGTTTTTTTGTCTGTTTGTTGTTTTTTTTTTTTTTTTTATTCTATGTCGAATTGATCCACACTTCGTTGATTAAATTATCTTCCAATTATTGGTTAAATATATTTAGCCTTGCGTAGGTTGCAAAACCACGAAGTTACTCTGTTTTCTCACCTGCAGAGCAGCTTTTGAGGTGATCACATTTAAACGGCAAAATCTCAGGAGGGGAAAAGAAAGCCCAAACCCCTATGGTATGAGGAGATTACTGCAGAGATAAGGCAGATGCCTATATTTGTATATATAAAATATATCGGTGTGCAGCCGCGTGTCCGTCCGTCGGTCCCTCAGTCTGTCTGTCCCGGCCGGGTCCCTGACGCGCGCTCCCGGCCCCGCGCACGCGCAGCCCCGCGCAGGCGCGCTCGCTCTGCCCCGCTCCGGGCCGGGTCCCGCTCCCGGCCGTGTCCGCTCCGGGCCGGGCCGCGCTGCTGCCGCCATCGCCGCCGTCGCCTTTCCCTGCCCGCTGCCGCCGCCGGAGGCTGCGGGTCCCGGCGGGCCGCGGGCGGAGCGCAGCAGCACCATGGCAGCACGGCCCAGCGGCGCCCCCGAGACAGTGCGCGGTGAGTGACTCCCAGCGGCGGGGCGCGGCTCCGCCGGGCTCTGGCTGCCGGCCCCTCGGTGTGGAGTCCCGGCGCTGCTCCTCGGGCCGCGGCTCCGCTCCGAGGTTCCCCGCGGCCACACACGGCAGCGCTGCTGCGGTCTGCTCCTCGCAGGGCATCCGAGGGCTGGGCGGGGGTCTGTGCTTGTCACCACCGGGTCAGCTCGGGCTTCGAGCGGACGGACAGCGCTGCACTCAAACGACGTGCTCCTGTCGCGTTCAAATATGGTTAGATTATAAAAAGCCCTTACGTTTTTAGATATATTTATGTAGACGTGCGGTGTTTATACAATTGAACGTGAACTGGCCAGTCAGCCTTGTCTCCATCCCTGGGAAGGTGATGGAGCAGATCATTCCAGAGGTCATCACCAAGCATGTAGAAGAGAAGGAGGTCATCTGGAGTAGTCAGCATGGCTCTGCCGTGGGGAAATCAATCTGATAGCTGCCTGTCATGGCATGGCAGGATGGATCAACGAGGGGAGAGCAATGGCTGTTGTCTGTCTTGACTTCACAAAGGTTTATGCACTGTCTCCCATGATATTCTTGCAGGTAAGCTCAGGAAATGCGGGTGAGGTGAATGGACAGTGAGGCCGCCTGGGGAGGAATGACCCCAAGTACCAGCACAGGCTGGGGACTGACCTACTAAAGAGCAGCTCTGCTGAAAAGGACCCGGGAGCCTTGGTGGATGACAAACTGTCCCTGAGTCAGCAGTGTCCTTGTGCCAGGAGGGCCAGTGGTATCCTAGGGTGCATCAGGAACAGTGTGGCCAGCAGGTCCAGGGGGTGATCTTCTCCCTCTACTCGGCCCTAGCGAGGCCACTTCTGGAGTGCCTTGTCCAGCTGTGGGCTCCTCTGTACTAAGAAAGACATTGGAATCAATAGTGAGTCCAGTCTTACTCAGTTTGTTTATCAACGACCTGGACAATGGGACAGAATGTACCCTCAGCAAGTTTTCTGGTGGTACAAACTGGGGGAGTGGCTGCTGCTCCTGAGAATGGAGCTACTGGAGAGGGTCCAGTGGAGGGCCATGAAGATGCTGAGGGGTCTGGCCTATTTCTCTTATGAAAAGAGACTCTGGGAGCTGTGCGTGTTTAGTCTGGAGAGGACCGAGAAGGGATCTCAGTGCAGGTGCCAAGAGGATGGTGCCAGGCTTTTCAGTGGTGCCTAGCAACAGGACACGGAGCCACGGTCATAAACTGAAAAGTTTCACTTCAACATGAGAAGGAATTTTTTTACATAGAGGGTGTGAGAGCACTGAAGAATGCGGCCTGGGGAGGTCGTGGAGTCTCCCACTCTGGAGATATTCAAAACCCACCAGGACACATTCCTGTGTAAGCTGCTCTAGGTGACTACCTTGCCATGGGGGTTGGACTGGATGATCTCCAGAGGTGCCTTCCAGTCCTAATGGTACTGTAAACCTCATAATTTGTGCTTAAAGTGTTTCTCATGGGTATAAAGATGTATAGATTTATTGGCATGCTATTTTAATGTCACACATTAAATACTCCTACAACATAGGAGAGTGTCAGAGTGATGTGTGGTGGGAAACTGCTAGAACTGGATGTCTAATCTTTCTGCATGGGTTTATGGTTTACCTAAATAGGATGCATAGAAGATCTAATTAAGAGCAGAATATTAAAAAATCAGTAGAATGAAAATCTAGTGAAGTATAAACAAACTTGGTTTTTCATCAATGTCAAGTTTTACCAAAATACAATGTATGTACTGTCCTTAAACACATTTTAACAAAATATGGTACGGACAAATTTTTAAAGACAGTTACAATTTAGGGATGTTTCCAGCTCTTCAGTGTCTGCCTACATTTCTTTTGTAAGTTTTTTGAGTCTCACTGTACCAGCTTGTGCTAGGAAGTGATATGCTGTTGACAGATAGAGTCCAAACAATTTTCAGAGTTGATTACATGGAGAAATCTCTATTGGTTATTTTCTTTTACAAAAGCTTATTTTCCAAGAATAAACAGAATAGCTCAGCAGTACTCTTCAGAAAAAATCTGGTTGCTAGTTTCCATATGTGATAAATGTTTTGTTTTCCTAAGTATTTTGCTCTGTTACTTCTGCTTCCAAAATACCTGTAATTTTGCAGACTTCATATGATCAAGTGAAAAGTACAGCATGTGTATTCTGGATAGGCTGTAGCATTGGTTTGCTTAATTGCAGTATAATTTTTCCATCTATTTGGTTGGGTTTTTTGGAGTTGCATCTCACATTTTGAGAAAGACTACACCTTGAGCTGAAGCCTTCATGTATCTATTCAAAACTTATTTCAGTTCCCCTCACCTCTCGAGGATTCAGTTTCACAGATTTATAAATAATTTAAATTTCCGCGTTCTACATGTCATAGTTTTGAATATGTTGAAAACTGCTGTTAGCTATTGTGTTGCTCAGTTATCAAGTGAGAGTAGATTTGAGTTTCTCACTCCTTTGTTAGAGTGATGATCTGTGTATGAATTTCTGATTATCATTTTCTTGCCAAGCGATAGCTAACTATTTAAAAAAATAATGATTTCCCCTTGTAGTTTTTCAGGTGTCATTGAAAAGTTCTACATTGTCTGTTTGCTCCACTATCTGATTTTGCTTTTATTTTAATGCCTGTGATAATATATCACCTCTATTCTGAGGCCTTTTTAGTTTGTCATAGTTGTCACCATATTATGTTAAATTTAAACATAATATGGTGTTAAAAGTATATACACCCCCACACTGCTTTATTCAGGAAAAGAGAACTGTATTTTAAAACAAGTGGGAAGTAGATAATTTTTCTGGAATCATCAGTTTGTCACATCCCTCAAATAGGTGGTTTATTTTCTTCTAGCATGGAATGATCATTGTTCTTGGCCCACTATGGCAAGCTTTTCTTGAAACATGTCCATCAGCTACTTCTTCACTTAATATTTAGCATAATCTCTGTACTACTCTTTCAAACATTCAGTCAGTCTCTATTGTTTTTTAATGCAATCTGTTTGCAGAAATTCAGTATTTTACTCTAATCCAATTATATGTGCGCTTAATGCCTTTATATCTTTCTTAAATGGAACGACATGGCTATATGTCAGTCCGCTAGTTAGACTAGTAAATAAGAATTTCAGAAGAAGAATTGCTTTAAATAGAAAGCCTGTGTCTGGTAGTTATTGCCTTGTGAAGCCAGCACAACTGCAGAGTTGCTGTAAATTTTTCTTCATTGTTGGGTTTGTGTCTTACTATGCATTTATGCAGTTGTATCCATGAAAAATACAGCAGTTTTTCTAGGATCTGTGCTGGAAGTTGCCATCCCCTGTTTTCATTCAAGTAACTGATGCTTGGTCACAGCATTAACATCTGTCTTGTACCTGGTTTCTGCATCCTTTGAGAAACTCACAGAAGTTCTGAGTGCAGAGAGTCAGTGCAGAGAGCTTTGAAGCCACACTGAGATCCAATGGCTTTTGCCCCCTCTAAGTGCAGATGAAATCAAGGGAAAACACTAGATGGCATTTTCAGGTTCTCAGGTTTAATTTCAGTTTGGCTATCCAGCAAACTTGTTAGATCTGCCTGACATAAAATACAGAGCCACTGTAGGAGCCAAAACATGGTGTGGATTTTTTTCAACCTTCTCATGGTGATCCTGCAAAGTAATGTGTTCATGAATATCAGTTTTACTTTCTTCACTTCAAAGATATGTTTTGAAGTTGAGCACAACTTAGTTGGCTGTAGAGCCCATTCACATAAGCAGAGCAAAAGTGTATGTCCAGAGAAATAAAGTAACTAAACCATTTTTTTAATGTGGTTAAAATTTTTAATGTGGTAATTTTTTTTGATGACAGTATCTCACAGTATTTGATGCAACGACCAAAGCCTTAAAATGATTTTCATTATGTATAGAAAAGATAATGACCCTGTTGTGTCAAGGAACAGATGAATTGTAAAGAATTCTGCATACAGAGCATAAGTTCTGATGCTTCATGAGGTGCTTGAAGTAGCAGCAGATTTTTTCTGCCCTAATTTTGTATGTTTACACTGTTCATCTAGCTTGTCTGGAAATGTTTACAGACAATTGTAAAGGATTTCAGATCATCTGATCTGTTGCTTTCTAGTTTGCATTTATCAGAATGGAATTGAAATGACACATTTGCTGCAATGAAATAGAATATGTTTTTGCATGCTAACTGAGCAGAATGAAATGGTAGAAAAAATTCACATGAGGAAAATCTAAAGGTAACTCTACACCAGCTTCCTCCTTGAAATATTTTTTCTAAGTCTTGATACCTGGGTTTGGTGGGGTTTTTAGGTTGATTGAGTTTTTTTGAGGGTTGAGGTTTATCTGTTTGTTTGTTTTTGTTTTTTAACTTAAAAGCTTGCGCTGGTGAAGATTCCTTAACTGTTTAAGGGACTTAGTTCCAGTGCTAGAATAAAAAGTTATATTTTTTTCCAGTGTGTTCCCACCTTTCATACTGAAATTAAAGTTCATCTTTTCCATCTCCAGCAGACAGAGGCTTTTTTATGTGTGCTGCAATCTTGCATGAGCCTGAAGTTTCAGAAATTGCTGAAGTTTTTTCTCAATGCCGAAAACTTTTCAAAGGCTGTCTTTGAGAAAATGTGACTTCCTGAGAATTCTTGCTTGTGTTTTCTGTACACAGATAAACACTATTGCACCATTCAAATGATTAATAAATCTTTGAAAGGTGTTAGATTGAGGCAGATGCTGAAAATTTGTGCAAAAAAGGGGGTTAGCACTTTGTTCATTCTTTTGAAAGTTTCCAAATGCAATGAAATTTTCTTTTCTACAAATACAGGCAGCAAATTGTATAATTTGGAAATACTAGAATTCTCCCAAATCTCCTGGTGATTCTGAGTAGAATCAGTGGTGGTGAGGTTTATCTTAATGTATTTTTCTTTTCTAAATGTTGGTGGACTAAAAGTTGCTTAAGCATTTCTTACAGTGGTTCATAGTATATAATGAAAGATAGATCTGTTGTAGTTTCAAGGCCTTTAAATTATCCTTTGTAAGGATTGGATTCCAAAAAAATGTTTCATTCATTCATATTTTCTCATCCAAATTCTTTCTGTTGGAATGTAGGACTCTGCTATAAATGGTTTTATTTTCCGTAAATTTCTTTCAGAAAATACTTAATTTAAGCACCTTACCATTTTTTCTCTGTTTCAGAGTTGCCACCTGCTCCTTCTACATCAAGAACAAGCTTTGCAGAGCTTTCTGTTAGACAGCGAATGAGAGAGAAACTAAAAGCAGCAAGGGTGAGAATCCTTCAGAAGTCCTGTTTGGTTGACCTCAGTCTTATCAGGAACACCCACTTCATTTTACTTGCCTTATGCTATGTGGATTTGAGTTGGGATATTTGCTTTTTTATTTCTGAAGCTGAAAGAGTACTCAGTTCATCAGTACAGTTACATTCTGTATTGCTGTTTTCTTTTCTAAAGTCTGTATTTAATTTTTTGATAGTAACATAAAAGGCATCATTGTTTTGTAATTCAGATGATACAATAATTACAAGTTCCTTCTGTGTTCTTTGTCAAAAATTTTCTTACACTATTTTGAAAGCAGTGAATTTCTTTGTGTGTTTGCTGTACAATTTAATAAGGTGCATTAATATATGGATCTGGAAAACCACTTAAGCTGATTTTATAATTAGAGATTCTGCCCCTAACACAAATACAAGTAAGTGTTGAGTTCCTGGGAATCATTGTAGCTTTGATCTATTTCTGTTTCTATTACAGCTAAACATTTTTTTCATTTGTTTGCTTAGACAAAAGCTGAAATTACTTTATCACAAGAAGACCCCAGTCCACAACCAAGGCGCTTAAAAGGCATCAGAGAAAAAAAAACAGGAGTTGGACTGGATAAAACGGTAAAAATGTGCATTCTATCTTGCTATTCTTATCAAAAGAAAGTGAGTGTGAAACATGAAAAAAATCAAACTCTGCACACTCTTGAAGATCAATTTCATTTAACAAAATTATGCTGCTGTTTGAATTAGTAAGCAGAAAGGAACCATTCTGATTATTGTTTTTATTGTATGTATTTAACAGTAATAAATTGCTTACATTGTAGTATGGACATCATGGGAAGATTCTGTCATTTAGAGGTTCATGACTTCTGTTGCTTAAGATGCCTTAAGTATTGAAAATTTACTATAACAGGAGCTTTATATAAATAAAGCTCCACTGTAATAGAGCTTTATATAAATTTGAACAGTGCAGTTGCTAAATGCGGGATATTAACTTTGTCATTGTATTTGATTGTATTTCCTTGTTACCATTTTATGTTGAGTTTTTTTATATAAGCATTTTTTTTGTTAGAAAATGAATTTTGTATTAAAAAAAAACAACAAAGACTCTGCCTGTGCAGAACTAGCACTCATATTCTTCAGAATTCACAGAAAGATTGTGTGCCTGTAGAAAATTGTTCCAAAGAATGTTTTATTCCCAGGAAATAACAGCATATAGCAGTAACGCCTTTATATGGAATTCCAAACAATATGACTTAGCCTGGCTAAATCACTTGTCTAGGGGAGAATTGCCATTTCATGTACGTTGTGGGAAGATTTTTGGCAATTTTATCTTATAATAAGTAATTATTACAGCTTTCAGTTAAGTAGTGCTGTTTTAAAATATTTGTATTAGGAAAATGCAGAAGTGATATCCTTATTAGAGTTGTTTATTAATTTTATGTCAAGTATATCTGAAACCTTCTACCTGTTGGTTTTGTTTCTTGTACTTATTTATGCACAAGGTATTGTCTTGTTGTTAAACAAGTGGCCATCAGACTGACAGAGCCTGAGATTTTCTTTTTGATATTATTATTTTGAAATGTAGGTGTAATAGAAGTAAACTTAAGAATTGTCTTCCTTTAATGTAACAATTCCAGCCACAAAGAGGAAGAACAGATAGAATGGAAGAACAGATAGAGTGGTAGGTGTGTTTTTGTTGATTAAGCCTGATGAAAATCACTTTGAAACACTTAAATGAACTTGCTGAAGCAACCTCAGAACCAGTGATCTTTCCAGTGATCTTCGTGTAGGACAGATAAGCCTTCAGAGGACTGGGGGTGGATAAACATGATACCTCTTTTCTTGAAAAGGCAGGAGTGTCAGCCGTGGAGTTAGAGAGTAGCCTAGCAATAATTGTTTGAAAGAATAAAATAGATAATCAAGTGTGTATTTCAGCACCCAAGCAATGAACACCACCTTTTTTAAACAATACCAGAGAGGTTTTTCCTGAGTGCAGCAGGGGTTGTCTGAGAAGAGCCCTGACTCCCTTACCTGGGCTGCAGTCTCAGCCAGCAGCTCCCCTGGCACTGCTGCCCTGCTGGGGCTGTCTGCCCGAGGGCAGGGCTTCCAGTGCTGCCTCCTTGCTCTCCCTTTGGACATCAGCCTGTGCTTGTGTTCAGGAGTGCAGAAGCAATGATCCCATCAGCAGTGAGGACAGCTACCGTCATTCATGCAGTGAACCATTTCTTCATACTCTGCAGTCTATTTCTTGACCCAAAGGAATTAAGATGTACCCTTGTAAAATAAATATGCAAATTTGTTACCACAGTGGTGATGGTTTTTTTTTGGTTTGTTTTTTTTTTTTTGTCTGTAAAAATCCAATATCTAATAGCTGTAGTCAATTTTTTGTATTTTTTTATGATTCACTAAATGTATGCTAAAACTTATGTATATGTTTCATGCAGTCTGATGATGACAAATTCAGGGAGATGCCAGAGGGTGAATCACACTTACCATCAAAAGTAAAGTTTCGTGATTCTGTAAAAAAGCTTAAGCAAAAGTCAACAGTAAGTACCAATTCCTCCATTTCAATAATGAATATTAATTTAATTTAACATTTATATGGCTTCATGATTCCTCATGTTTGAAGAATGAAACGGAATTCAGTGTTAAGCAGTGGAGAGGTTTTTATTTAATTTAAAAATTCACAAGCAGTATATGTCAATAATTGATGGATATAAAAGGAATCAAATGCAAATCTAAGAATGGTTTTGAGTAATTTGATTAAAAAACCCAAAAAGCTCTAGTAAATCCATCTGGACACTACTGGAGTTTGCAGGAAAAATGTGTCTTCTGTTTAAATCCTTTTTACTGAATGCCACCAGTTGGCAATTAAAGCATTTTATCAACTAGTATATTGATAATTATTAGCCACAAAGTCCTAATGTTAATTCTTTTCTTAGAGGATCTGTTCTAAAGCTAAGGAGTCCTGGATCCTTCAAAGGCAAAAGGCCATTGGAAATTTCTCTTCATATCGTTTACCTGGGTACCTGCAGTATGGCCAGAACTTAAATTTTGGTGTCCTGATTCACAAATGGTTTATATTTAAAACAATAAGAATGTTAAAATTACACCAGGTAACTTTTTAAACAAAACTTTGCAAGAAATATTGAATGTAGAATATAGAAATAGAGAAAGTTTCGTGAATTATTTACAAATTTCAGTTAACTTCAGCATTTGAGTGAGTTCTGTTTGAGATAAAATAATAATTGTCTTGTTTATACATGCTGCTATTTCATATTATTAATGGGAATGAATTATTTACAAATTTCAGTTAACTTCAGCATTTGAGTGAGTTCTGTTTGAGTTAAAATAATAATTGTCTTGTTACAAATGTTTATACATGGTGCTATTTCATATTATTAATGGGAACATTTATTCAATTTATTTACTTGCTCTAATTTTCTTAAAAATACCACATACAGTATCTTTGTCTTCCTTTTTTTAGTTCCAGAATGATTTTCCTTCTGAGGAAGAAGCATATAATTTCTTTACCTTCAATTTTGATGCTGTACCAGAGAAAATGAAAGCTGAAGCCAGGAGAAAGAATGGATTAAGTGAAGAAGAGGTGGAGGACGAATGTGTCGAAACTCATGAAGATGAACAAGAGGAGGATGAAATGGTGAGAACTATAGGATAAATGTTAATATTTTTTATTCAGACTTCTGTTAATTTTAGTCTATATAAAACAGCATCTTTGCTTTCCTTAAAAATTTTCAAAGTGTACTTTCTCAAGAAACTTCCTTAAGAAACAGACAAACTAACAGAGATGTTTGCACTTGAACTATAGGATGACGACGTACGCCTAGTGAAAGATGATGATTTATTCATAGGGCAGACAGATGAAGACCTTGTAGTAGAGAAACCTGTTGATTGTGAAAGCTACACTGAGCAACTGAAAAGGGAAAAAGAATTTCTCTTCGTTCCCAGCATGTTAGCAGGTATGAAGATTGTGCTTATCCATCTAGCTCCTGGATTTTTGCATAGCATGGCACCCTCTGATCTGCTGGGTAAATCTGGTATTGACTATCTCTGGCAGCAGAGAGAGATGTTTAATTGCAGCTCTCTGACACTGCTCATACAGTCGAGTCTGAAAAAGGCTGACAGATGGATTAGCTGGAGGCATGCACACCTCAGCAGGTCATCACCTGCTGCACTGGCAAGTGTACTCAGGGCACCTCAGCTGGTTGGGGGTAATTTCCTCACTGCTGTCTGTAGGAAGTGCAAGGTGCTAGACCCTCTTCTGCTGTTATTTAACGTATACAGCATAGATTATATCTTTGACTTTTTTTGCTTTATTCCCGCAGAACTTCAAAGTCCTAAAAAATTGCTTTATAGTATCACTTGCTATTTGATATTTGAACTGGAAGAAGTAGAAACAAGTCCCCCAGTATATACTGGAATGGTACCAGTACAGCTTGCAGTGCAATGTCATAATATTTGACATTGTGTGCCTCTGTTTTTTCATGTCTTGTAATTTAATTCTGACTACTTCCTGTCTGATCCACTGTGTTCTGATTTAAGGGAAAACTTTTGTTGTAATCCTCAGTACAATCCTTCCCTGTTTTGAGATTTTTTCTTGAAAAGTACTGAATCCATACACACAACGAAACAGCCTTGCAGGCAGGTCTTCAGAACGAATTGCACCTGCTGTCATTTGGCTAACATAACTCTTTTATACATGTTTTATATTTTGTATGAGACTAGCTTAAGCAAAGTATTTATTAACTGAAGGTCTGATTAGTCTAAAAGTTTCATTTTTCATTGGAAAGGCTTAGAAGTGCTTCTCTGGTTAGTTGCTGCTCAAGGTTTTTTCCACTGTTCTGCAAGCAACCATTAACACTAAACTCCACTAAGTAACTTGAAGTACTTTTTGTAAGGAAATTTTTAGTTATTGGTTTATTAGAATTGTGACATTTGATGGTACTAATATGGGAGATCTGTCTTGATTAAGATAAGGACGTGTTTCAATTCTATATTTATTTCTTTTTTTTCCTATTAGTAAAATACTTCTGACAGCATACTTAATATACAGTGCTGATCATTTTAAGAATTAACAAATTAAAACTACAGCTACAAGATATTTTACATGGTTTTCTTCTTAATGTCTCATTAGTGCCTGCTTCTGAGAAGATGCCTAGAAATATGCAGCCCAGGTACCTTGAGGATGAAGGTCTTTACACTGGAGAAAGGCCCATTGTATCACAGTCTAATCAAAATATTTTAGAAAACAGAATACTCAGACAGGACCAAGTAAGTCACTGCTACCTTTTTAGTTGTAACTTTTATCAGTATTTTATTTATCTTTATAAGTATCTTATTTTTGTTATAGTTAAGTAAGTAGATGGTCATGCTAATATGGGGCTTTCATCTTCAAAATGTTTAGCAGCATCAGATGTTGGGAAATGCATATTTTTGTAGGAGCCTGTTTTTAGTGTAACCCCACTGTCAGAACATCAGACTGGGTCTTACAAAACTGTTGTCTTTTCTTGGCTCTGTTTGTAGCCTGCTGGGGAACAGATCACTGATCAGACTGTAAGGCTGATTAAATATTGGTATAGATTATCAGAGAGGTTTTAGAATCCTTTCAGATTTTTAAGTATTTCTTGAAGACTTGGGATAGACTTGGGAAAGTAGCTTGGATATATTTTTTCCTCCTATATTATCGTCCTATACATGGTAAGGTGTGTATTCAGTATAGACTTTAACTGCTGAGCTGTAGCTGCCCTTTATATTTTTTTGTGGTTCTGTGTTTTCTTCATGTGCTTTTGCTAATCAGATTGGGAACATTTGGATCTAAAATTTTTGAATGAGCAGTTGGAACCCAGTTAGTTTTCTGCTTGACTTCATGGTGTTACTACATCAACATTTGGCTCAATGGTCTGGTATTGAAAATAATAATGAATATAAATACAAGGTACCTGAAACAGGAATGGAACTAACAGGGTAGGGCAGCATCCTTGGACAGCTGCATTGGTTTAAGCTGTATTTGAATCCAGGTAAAGAGAGGAGAGGGATGAATGAGGACAATGGTGAACATGTGAAGCCATGGATAGCAATTGCTGTGTAAAATAGTTACCTGGTCTGCTTTCATAGATGTTGTTTAAGTAGCTCAGGTTTTGGACTAGAAGATTGGAGTGGTGCTTTGATAAATATCTGAGCTGCCATTTAGCTCTTGTATAAAACAAGACTTAAAATTCTTTCCATTTTAGTGATTTAAGAAAATAACATTTAAATAAGTGACATGTTGATTTTTTTTTTTCAAATTTATCACACTGAATGTTGAAGGAAAAATAAATCAGTATAATCAAAGTTTGAGCAACATCTTGGTCTTTTAATTTCAAAACTTACCTCTGGTATGTTTGAAGATTTAATTTTGAAGTATTAGGAAAATTTTGGTTATTTCAGTCACAAACAATCCATAGTCACTTTTTATTCTGTATTTTTTGCAAGAATTATACTTTTTCAAGTAATTCCTTCATAAAGTAAGAAACAATATATAATTTTGTTTTCCTTTGTAGGGGAAAGAATGGTTTGGTGATGATGGCAAAATCTTAGCATTGCCTAATCCAATTAAACAGTCTTCTACTAGGCCTCCAATCTTCTCACTTGAAGAAGGCATTGCACCAGAACTTGAAACAGTATATAGAAAGGTAAGCATATTTCATATATGTGATTCCTGAGATTGTGTCCCAGTTCTTCTGCACCAGAAACCCTGGTGACCTGAAGGGTTTTCTGCCAAGAACCATGACTGTTGACTGTTTTTTGTGATTTCATATCTGTTCTTTAAATCAGTTCTACTTTATTAAGTTTCATTAAAACCATTCAGGAATCTTGAAGCAAGCTTTATTGTTCTGCTTGTTAGAAGTCTATTACCCTTTGGAAAAGCTGAGTTTTTAAAACTTTTAAATAGAGTGCTCATTTGGGACACACAAGTGTTTCTGACTGTTGTTGTTGATACAGATTTAAATGTGGCCCTTCAGCTGATGTTGGTGATAAACATGCAACCCACAGGCTGCATCCAGTAGCACAGATCTGTGCAGGGTGCTTCTGCAGGCAGGAAAAATTAACTGTTTAGATCATATAAAGATAGGCCAAGAGAGCTCATGTTTCAGGAACACTGTGTTGACATGGACAGTGACATAGAAATATCTAAGTCACAGTGGTAAGACACTGAGCTTAAGGGTTCTTCATGGGCAGAAAAATAGTTAAAGCATAAGGAATTCAAAGTTGTCATTTTTATGATACATGGTATCTTTTGATGAGAAACTGAATGTGGGAGGATCAGGTGGACTCAAGTGTGTTTCATGGCCATTTATATCAGTCCTATAAAAGAGCTAAATAAGTCCTATGCAGCGACTAAATTTCTCTCCAAATCCCTCTTTTTCCTGTTCTTAGGAAGGGACTACAGCAAACACTACATAACTAACAATCTTTTACAGCACCATAATACCTCTGGAGAATGTCTTCTGAAGGATCCTAATAAGGGAGCAGGAGTACTCAGGCTGAAAGCAGGGTTAATTCTCTTCTGATTTCAGTAACTTGAGGATGTAAGCCTTTTGTGATTGAAGTAGTCTTTTTAAGCTTTGTTGCTGAAAGCTTTCCTTGCCTTCACTGGTCTGTTTCCCTGGTGTTTGAATGGGGAAGCAATGTATAAAATATTAGGAAATACAATATATTTCCTAATCTACACAATGTAAAAGGAGAGCTCCTTGTGTTCCTAATCTACAAGGGGAACTGTTCTGTGAGAGCTGGACTCTATCCTAGAGCTCAGTTCTAAGAGGAAATAAAGCCATACTAAACAAATGTGTCAAAAGAGAACTAGCAGGCTCTACTTTTTCTAATCCAGAGTCATTCTCTTCATTGCTCAGCAAAACCTTCAGTATGGGAAGATGACTTCTTATTTCAGCCTCACATGGGCTGTAAAAATTCTGTTGTGCAGAATATCCATGGTCGTTTGGTACCACCCACTTGTCAATAAAGCAAGAGGTTAACACAGTTTAAGACTCAGCATTTAAATGTAGATAATGCTAAATGGGTCATTTTCTGACAAAGAAAATCCTTGAAAGATACTGTTGTAAGAATCTCTAAATCCATTTTATTCTTTTTTTCTTTCAGGCAACAAAAATGACATCTACCAATCAGTATTTTGTTGGACCTGGAGATTTTCAGGGACTGTTTCAATTGGATATTGATATTTCTGGGCTGATATTCACCCATCATCCCTGTTTTAGCCGTGAGCATGTGTTAGCAGCTAAACTGGCTCAGTTATATGATCAGTATTTAGCAAGAAAACAGAAGAATCTTACCAAACTTCTCACAGACAAGGTATTTCTGTTCTGTCTTCATACTTTTTTGAGACAATGACATGACAGTTTAAGGTAAAAACTAAACTTGTCAGAAGTTAAAAACCTAAATATTTGACTGAGTTGCTGTGTGTTTAGCGCAGAATTGCATTTTTAAGATAAAGAATTTCTTTGGTCTTTGAATTTGAATTAACTCTGAAGTAAAAGGAATACAGTAACATTTGCATAGTATTCCTTAGAGTATCCAAAATGTTTCCCAGTGGGTGACAGATTAGACATTACTGGATTGTGTACAGCAGCTCTGACAGGGAGAGAGCAAAAGACATTATTCAATGATGGAGGGAAGTTAGTGAAGTTTAGTTTCAGTTATCAAATCAAAGTAAAAGGAAGCAGTTTAATTTCACCAGATTGTACAAAAGTGGAACCCATTTCCAGATGTGTATCTGTGGCAGATGCTGTGTTGTAAGTGCATATTGCTGCCACATTTACTGCGGGACTCTTGTCACATGGCAAAACCCAAGGCTGGATGTAGACTCCTGTTGGTGGCTCTGTTGCTGGCTTGCTGGGTGAGCTTGACAGGGCTGCTCATCCCCTGTGTACCACCACTCTTCCTCTATCTGTACACTGAAAGTAATGGAAGTGGTCTTCTCTGGTGTAAGCATGCGCATGAACATTAGGCATTGTCAACACGATTCTGATGTCATCAAGGCACACAAGAACACTTGTCTGTCAAAAATTGGTTGGATTATTAAGTATATATACATTCAGATTTCCATTGACTGAAGGTCATTATTTTATACATTAAAGAACTATTATAAGGGAAAAATAATCATTGATAAGCTCATTTTTAGATTAATGTAATGAGCGTCGGTGGTAGTGTACAGATATTTCTGATTTTTTATATAAAGCATTAGATTATAGTTCTAATGATGGACAGACATTTCATATGGTGTCTCAAAATAATTCCTTGGTGTATTTTGTTCTGTTAGTACTTTTGAAGGATTTACCTTAGTGCTCTGTGAAGCAGAGCATTTAGACATTTCATACAGTGTCTCAAAATAATTCCTTGGTATACTTTGTTCTGTTAGTACTTTTGAAGGATTTGCCTTAGTGCTGTATGAAACAGAACATTTGGGTTACCCATGTCTTCATTATAGGAACCTATAAAGCCATAGAATCATTAAGGCTGGGAAAGATCTCTAATACCATCAAGTTCAGCCATCAACCCAGCACTGCCACATCCATTACTAACCCCCAAGTGGCAGTCTGCACATCTTCTTTTAAATACCTCCAGGGATGGTGGATATCTCTGCACAGCCTGTTCCAGCTTGACAAAACTTTCAGTGAAGAAATTTTTTTCCCCAAGATCCAATCTAACCTCCCTGGGATTTGAAGCCATTTCCTCTTGTCTTATTACTTGTTACTTGACAGAAGAGACCAACATCTGTCTGCAGCCTCCTTTCAGGGGTGATTTAACCTGGAGATGCTCATGGGGGACCTTATTGCTCTCTACAACTGCCTGAAAGGAGGCTGTAGCCTGGTGGGGGTCAGTCTCTTATCCCAGGCGACCAGAAGCAAGTCAAGAGGATTGACTGGCCAGAAGCTGTGCCAGGGAAGGTTAAATTGTACATCAGGAAGAACTTCTTCAGTGAAATGATGATTAAATATTAGAATGCACTAGCCAGGGAAGAAGTGGAGTCACCATCCCTGGAAGTGTTCAAGAAATGACTGGATATGGCACTTAGGGCTGTGATTTAGTTTATATCTGAGAGGTCTTTTTCAACCTTAATGATTCTGTGATTCTATTCTGTGATTCTGGGATTTTCTGATCCACTAAGGATTACCTCTAGTAGCCCTTCCTAGTCCCAAGAAAGGCTTTTGTGAAAGTTGGGGATTTTTGCTGGCTTGAGGTCTTTCTCCACTTACAGCTTTGATTCCTGAGCTTTCAGAATGCTCCGCAGATCAGTCTTTCCCTTGATTAGATCTGCTGCAGTGATAAAAGTTAGTAAATCTCCCTCCTATATCCAGGGATCCTAATTAAAATGTCATGCTGAGGAATCACCTCAAACATGGCAAAACCCTGTAAATGCAGAATCAGGATAGTTCAGGGTTTTCTGTCATTAGTAATTAGCTCTTTCCTTTCAAAGTGCAGTACTCTGCATACCTTGTTAAGCCATCTGTTAATTGCTTTTTTCTTTGTTCAAGCTGCATGCTTTGAGGAGTGCAGTGCACTGTAGTATGGAAGGTGGTGGTGATGGTGTTCCTGTGGCTCAACAAAGCATACCTGAATACAAAATGGAGATCAGGTGGGTATGAATTCATTAAATTGTTGGTTTTTAAAATTGTATTCCTTTTTTCCTTTACATGTTGGTACAGAATATGATTCATGTCAGACTTTTAAATTCTACTATAAACAGCTCTAGAAGAATTTTGAGGATTTAAGAGTTTTCACTGATAAGTTGCATAAAACATTATGAAGAAAATACAGTTTAGGCTGAAATTTTCATTCAAAAGTGGTCTAATTTGATTATGTTTATTAATTTCTTAGTAGCTATTTACTGGTATGTTTTGTATAATTAAATATAATTTAAGTTTCAGTAGACTTCAGCTGGATGCACAAAGCTTTTACAATGCAATAAAGTAATTTTTTGAACAGACAAAAACCCTAGTTTTTTCCATCCTCTTCTTCATTACATGAATATTCTTGATTTCCTTCCCATTCTAAGGTATTTTGGCCATGTTTTTGCCAATGGGTTAATACAAATAAAGTGGTAGAATTTTGTTTTACAAGATTACAGTTATTGTTCTTGGAGAAAAGCTGGGTAGTAAAAATATAGTACAGTTTTTGGCTTGGTAGTGACAGTTTGTATTATTTTTGGCAAATGGACAGTGATGGACTGTAAGTGTTAGCAGTATGATAAAAAAGAAGTTATTTTGGATATCCATGCTGAACAGCCTTTTAACTAGTAGATAACAAAAGTCTGAACGTTTTTCACAATGTAAGAGTAGGCAGTAATGTATTCATTTAAAGAAACAGAACTATAAAGTGATGTAATGGGTCACATTACACAAGCACAATATGAAGAAGAAAAATGTTTTTAATAACAACTCTACTTTCAGCCTTGAAATTTACATCTGCTAAACTTACACATCTACACACTCCTCTCAGAGAGAGCATAAAGTAGTCTATAATTTATTATTTTATACTAAAAGAAAAGTAATTCCTTCAATTGAAAATGGAATAGCTTTTATCAGTATCTTATTAACATATCTGCTAGAGGACAAGGAGCAGGAGGTGTGCAGTTACCATACTGTACCTTGGAGAGAGGAGCTCTCACTAGGGAAAGCATGGGAATGGTGATGGGAAGATTCACTGTGGGAATGAGATTCTTGGGTTTTGCCACCTGAGGCTTACTTGATGGTGAACTCCAGTAAGAAAGAATACATCTTCTGTGTATCTGATGTGTTTTTCTGTATCTTGAGTGCTTTAGTTTCGTGCTATTATGAATCTGGAGAAACTCAGCTGAAATCAGTGAGATTAGTGTTGCTTAAGTAACATGAGATGAGTTTGGCTGGTATTATTCTAGAGCTTTTCATATCTGTAATTCATTTTGGCTACAGCTCTGTTATTCAAAGCTGTTACACATATGAAGGTCAGATGGGCTCAGGAATTTTTGCTGTTATGGTATTCAGTACTAACTTGGACTACTTATGTTGGTAAAATAATCTGAGCTGCCTTGTCTCTCTTTTAACGTTGCATTTCCCTGATGGTCAGTGTAGAACACTCGTGAGAAGTTACAGACATGTAGCATGGAAAATAGTCTAATTGTTTTCTCCACCCTGCAATACCATAACAGATGTATATACCGTTTGCTTTCTGGAGATCAAAGCTGTAATTTTCCATTGGCTTGAGGAAGAAATGTCATCTGAATACAGAAAACTTTTGCAGATTAGGAAATTCATCTTCACTTCCTGAAGTAGGAAGCCAACATATGCTATAGATTCTATGATTCAGGTTCTTGTGGGTAATGTATTTTAGCAGAGATGATTCTCTGCTGAAAGGTCCTACTTCCAAATCCCATACATTAGATAAGTGTGGTTACTGATCTCTATGTTTCTCATGCCTTTAAGTTTCATCTTCTAGCATCATCTGGTAGACAAAAAAGAAAAAGTTGCTACATGGATAAGTAATATGCAGATTGCTAGCTAATGAAGTGGAGAATTTACTCATGGCTTTCTATGAAGTCTGCATTTCTTCTTTGTTTATTGTTTTCCCTAAATTGGCTTATGCTGTTAAATGATGTATGATGTCTTTCTTCTCTGAGCTCTAACTCCATCTGTTTTCCACATTCTCTGAATATTACAAGTAGCAATGTGTTAGTTTACATTGGTTTGTTTTTTTTTAATCACAGACTTGGTTTTGTACCAGGATAATAGTGAAACAGCCTGTGCTTGTCCTGTATGGACATTTACGTTGGAAATGTGTGATGGTCATTAAAAGTGCTAATGAATAGCTCTTTTCCAAACAGATTAGAGGGTGAAAATGTGAAATACCATTTCTGAGACCAAAAAAAAGGCTATGTTAATTTTGTTTGTATTAAGAATCTTGAAGGTCTGTCAAAGGACTTACTACATTACTTCATCTCTTCAGGTCCTTCTTACTGGAACTAGAGGCATATGAAGTTTAAAACATCTTTCATAATGTACACATGTAATGAGCATTACTTCATAGCAGCAGTGTAGATTTCCTGGGCTGATGTTTACATGAATTTACTTTAAAATGTTTTTAATTATGTACAGCTGTAATAAGCATTTCCGAATACTGTGAGATCTGTAAAGAACAGACTTAATTGAAGTCAGATTGTTCCAAATGAAAGAGACGGGAATACAGGAGGAAATAAAATCCTGCAATCTTCAAGTCTGGGTTTTATGTTCCTTGGAGTTAAACCACTGCAGCCATCAATCAACCTGAAACCCCTATCACTTAGCTTTTGGTATCCCAAGTTTTCAGTCTGTTCCACTGAGTGAGACAATTCTGATTGATCTTGTCCTATGTGTGTATATTTCTAGACAAACCAGAAGACTTCGTGATGCTGAACAAGAAAAAGACAGAATGCTGCTTAAGACCATTATCAAAGTTTGGAAACAAATTAAATCCCTCCGGGACTTTCAGAAGTTTACTAACACACCCATGAAACTTTATTTGAGGAAGTATGTCTTGATAACTTGATAATTATTGTACTTCATTTGCTAGCAGTGGAGTTGTAATAAGATTAGTTAATTTAGAAATTTATAATTTTGATATGCAGAAGTAAGACTTTGAGCAGTGCTGGCACTTTTAGCCAGCCACTTTTGAGTTTGGGGAAGAGGGAAAGTTTAAATAAGTAATAACTGTAGCAGAAAGGAATTGCTACAGATTAATGAGTAAGGAAAGTTACTATCTGGAATTGATATAATTATCTGCTATCAACAATTAAGAGTATCTATGCTAGTCTTTTTAAATAAAACATACTTTTGATATAATGAAGTTAATTCATGGAGAAGTAGATTTCTGTTATATGTTACAGACTTAATTGTAAACCTTATGTAATTTTATGCAACATGCTGCTAATGGTTGTTTTGAAGGGAAGAGGTTGATCAGAAATCAGATGAAAAAGCATATGAAGCAGAAATTCAGGCCGAGATAAAGGAATTGCTAGAAGAATGTATGGAAGAATATGAAAAGAAAATGGAGGAATATAAAACTGAGCTACATGACTGGAAATCCTGGAAGAAGACACAGGTTTGTTTAAATCGTTCAATTTCACAGAAAACAAAATTACCAGTGAATGTGTCAAAAATTTCTCCTTCTAATACAGAAAAAAATTCAGAGTTATGTATATGTTTTATGTTCAGATACATTCTGTCTATTTAGAATTAGTTAGGCAGGTAGTTGTTAATTAAAAAATTAGAATATATTAGGCTTTTGTGAGGCATTGTTTTTCTGCTACTGATTTTTCAGCACTTCAATTCTTTCTTTCAGTTTGGTAATTTTGCAGCATTCCTGTTAATTTAATTTCTTTCTTGCAAACTAAAAACATGGATGAACTGTGTGCCTATGAGTAACAAAGCAGAATAATTAAGGGGTGTTTCTAATGAACTAGCAGTTGATATCATCTCATGTAAATATATGTTTGGGAATGTCTCACTATGTTCAGGAATGTCTGACTGAAAGATTTAATTAATATTCTAGCCTTTCACCTTTGCAAAGCTTTATTGCTAACAATCTGTGCTGTAGTTAAGGTCGCAGTAGTGCTTCAAAGGGATATTGGGAAGTACAGGTGCTTCAGCAGCACACTGCAAAAGATGATCTTTGAAATCAACTGTGGCACAATCAGGTTTGCTTTCACAGTTAGGTGGCAATATACTGGATTCCTCAGGGTAATGGTGATTATACTTTAATATGATTATTGCCCAGCTTGAGCACCCTGGGTTTTTGGATACCAAAGAAAAATAAAGCTTAAGAAAATGCTTCAAATACAGTTGTCAAGAGTCTAGTGTGTCTGCTGATACTTTTATGGAGAGTCTTTTCATGTACATGTAGCCTCTATGGAAGGCATTTAAAATATTTGAGAGGAAGCCAATATGCAAGAATTGGAAATTCCTTTTATCAGAACACAAGTGGGCACATGACTCATTAGCATCATGTAGGTTCGCTTGTAGGATAAGGTAAGTGTAAACCTTGAAATGAAGGCAGGTAGTCATGAACATTGATCCTAATGCAAACTGTTCATCCATTCCTTCACAAATACCATTGTGGCATCTTTTTATTGTGCTAGTCACAAACTATCTTCAGACTGAGAAGATTATGGTTCTTTCCTTTTAGAATGAAATTACCTTTCTTTCATACCCACAAGTGCTTTATTTTATTTTCACTCAGAGTACTTTTTGACGTAATCACTCCTCTTGGTTTCTTCCTAGTACAGATCACGTGAATCAAACACACTAGAGCAAGGTGAGACTAAATAAATTTAGAAGCAAATACAAGAGCAAGAAGGATAACACAAAATTTGGCAAAGAAAGAATATTTTTTTAAAAAAATATGTGAGCAAGTTGTTTGGCTTACTACTTTAGTTAATGAGCAGAATCTGCTCTCCTTCCTCTTTGCATATGATGTGTTAAGTTGTGAAGTGGCTTGGTGCTTCCAAGCAAGCTGTACTTCCAAGTAATTTAGAAGTCTGTGGAAGGAGGAAGTGTTTTGCAGCTGTTTAAAGCTGAGCATGCACGTAAACACTGTAGTACAGGAGATGCTGAAAGGCATGTGTTGTTCTGTTTATTTATTCTTGTTTGGCATGAGGAAGGGAAAGGATCATTCTGCTCATGCTGAAGACACTGCTAAGCCAAAAACACTTGTGCTCCAGAGTTTGTGGCACATGTGCATTTGTTTTGTCAGTGTATGTGCAGACAGTGCATCTCAAACAACTGTGTCTACTGGCTGAGAATCTTCCTTCAATCCTAACAGAATGTACGTGGTAGCTCAGGCAAATGAGAACGCAGCATCTAGCCAGAACGTTCAAGAAACATGCTGATTTTGAAAGTTGGTAGGATTAAGTAAATGTTTTGCTTGGAGCACATTATGATTTTGAAGCATATGAATGGAATGTATTGCTGAATTCTGAAACTGATGCAGTCCTTTACAATGAGAGAAATGTTTTATGTGTTTGTGTGCAATACTAAAATTATACTGTCATTTTACTGTACATACACCATCTGTGTTTAGCACTTGTGAATCAAGAGAACAAGGGAAAAAATTGCAGAGATTGAAACACAATCAGAAAGAATGTTATTGTTTTTATATGCAGAAGTCCAAGAAGAAAAAGAAAAAAGATACTCGTGTAGATGAAGAATCAGAAGATCATGATTTTGGTGAGGAACGTATAAAACCCATCCCACCTAAAATGGCCGATAGCCTGGAAATAGAGCAGCAGGTTAGAGAAAAAGCTGACAACTGCAGAAGGAAACCTGGAGAGCCTATTCTAGTTCCTGAGCTGACCCTCTCAGGAAGCATAACTCCAACTGAGCAGTGTCCTCGGTAAGATAAATGTTGGCTAGCAAATTACCTTATTTGTGAATTTCTATAATTTATTAATTGCTTGTTTATACAACTTCAGATGCATGTTTAGCCTAGTGATGAAACCTCTGCTTTTGAAGGTGATACAACTTCATTCGTTTTCAAGTCACATATAATCTTGTATATAGTGCACTTCAAAATGCGTGTCTGCACAATCCCTTTGAACCCTCTGCTATTCCCTGAGCATCTGCACAGAACAGGGTGTAGATACAAAGAAGCTGGTTTCACTGTGGAGTCTGGGTTGCTGCTGATAGTACCACTTTCACTAGCTAGTCCTGTACACAAGGTCTGTGTTGTACTCAACAAAGGGAAAAGAAAGAAATTGTGTACTAAGCAAGAGATTGCACTGTAAGAAATAAATGTACTTGTTTTCTGTTACTTTCCATATTTGCACATACAATTTAGCATACATCTGCTGTATTCCAGTAATTTGAATACTGCTTTGTTTTGTACTTAGTTCACAAATAGCATCACCAGGGCATGCTGCTTGGCTGTTGTACTCCCAGTGATTGAAAACTTCGAAATTTTAGCTTGCTTTCATTTTTGTGCTTTGAAGGAAGAGGGTGGAAGAGAATTTTTTTTTCCCTAGATAATTTCTTTTGTATGGAGTTAGCTTTTGTGGATCCAAAATTTGACTTCATAGTTTTAGAATAATTTTATATTCACAAAAAGATAAAATGCCAGTTAAGTAAGAGTTCTAAAGTCGTTCCTGTGCAGTGACATTTTTGGAGGAATACCATCTATTTTTAGGTGGGTTCTGTCTCCCCATGAGAAATCAGATTTTCATTAAAAATAAATAATAAAAATGTTATTAAAAATTATATGATAGCTTGTTTGACATATTTACAGAGCAGAAGTTTTGCGACGAGAGGATGTGAAGAAACGCTCAGCATTTATTAAAGTCCTTTTCAACTCCAAAGAAGTGTCAAGGACTGTTACCCGACCAATAAGTTCCGATTTTAGAGTTCACTTTGGACAGATTTTCAATTTACAAATAATCAATTGGCCAGAGTGTTTGAAACTACAGGTAGATGTTGATTTATTGCAATAACTTTTAAAAGATGATATAAAATGTAATTACTCCTGCAATGCTTCTGTTTTGCTCTATGATAGTGTCATAAAAACTGAAAAACCTGTGAAAGACCTTTTGTAAATCATCAATTTTACACTCCTTCCTTGCTTCTGCAGTCTTTAACTTTTAACTTTGCTGTTATGTTTTTGATGTTTATGCTTTCTAGAAACATGTAGAAAAAATATAGTTTGGATGGGAAAAATTAAATAATTGGGACTTGTGATTAAATATGTTAGTGCATTGGCCTTTTGATTTGAAAAAACTGATTTGTGTTGCAGATCAAATTGCTGACATGGTCTCCTTAAAACATTATTTTCCACACAGTAAAACCCTCATGATGTTTACTGGAGGGAAATAAGAAAAAAAAAAATTCTAGTAATGTCCGTAACTGCACTTGACTTCATCAGCAGTGCAGTTAAATCAAGCCACTACCACCCCCCCTTCCAAATATGAATTAATATACTTTTCAGTGTTAATATGAAATATATTTTGAGGAAAGAGGATCAGGATCCTACTTCTCCCTTTAGGAGACTCCTCTGGTTAGGTAAGACTGGTAGTTCAGGGAAAGCTGTAAAAACCCCTTGTCTGCTTATTTATTTAACATGTAAATTGAAAAGGAGAAGGAATACCATTTTCCTGGATTCAAAACATCTGCATGGAGAAGCCACTGACATCACTCTGAGCCTGCAGCAGGCTAGGAAAGAGAGAAGCAGCCTGCAGTGCTGCCAGAATGGGGACTGTGTGCCATACCCTGCCTTTCATAGGGAGAATTAGGCAGAATCCCTCCAGAATCTTCAGCTGATCCAAGGGAATGTCACAAGCAGTTGCACATTGTACAGTGATGCTCTTAAAAGCCTGCATTTGTCATACTTGTCTCAGGTGCATTAGAAAAGTGAAGAAGATGGACTTGTAGGAAGAATTCACATCAAGTAAGCTGCTGATAGCTGCTGAAATGTCTGCTAATTGGATATTTTAGAAAGTGAATTAATACAATTGCCTTAAATTATTTATTTCATGCTTAAGCCATAGTAAAACCTTTTCTCTAAATATCCTGCAATATATTTTCAACTTCTCAAGAGTGCACACGTAAATTTTTTCTTCTGTCCCTCATCATATTTTTCCTAGATTTATGAAACGACAGGTATCAGCAGTACCACCTTGTTAGCTGAAGTGTTCTTGCCTGTTCCTGAGACTGCAGTTCTGACAGGCAGTGCTCCTCTGGAGGAAATAGAGTTCAGCAGTGATCAGCGTGTGGTATTGGATCATGAAGGAGTTGGGAGTGGTAAGGACTCTTGTTTTCCTTAGCTCAGTGTTTCTCGTTTTGCTGGAACCATGTAGCAGTAAGAGCCTGGAGGGGTTTCAGAGTAAGTCCTGCTAAGAGCCTTCACAGCTTGTGTAACAGTCTTCCATAATAGTCATGATTCTTATTATTGAAGTTCATTGCAGAATTTTTGTCGCTTACTAATTTTAAGCTTTGCATAATAAAAATGTGTCTGTTTATTATCTGTCTTGTTGTATTAGTGGAGTTTTACTAGCTACAGAAGATGTTTGGGATTTTTTGAGCATTTGAGTAATCAGACCTCTGACACTGCAGAGCAAGCAGATACCAGTCATTATAGCTCCAGTGATTTTAATGTTTTAAACCACTGAAAAACTGTCTGTAGGAGTGTATATGCACAGTAATTTTTTTGTCCTTCTCTTTGCTCTGTTGACACCCTGCACACATCTTTTCCCTGGAGCTTTAGGCTAAAGATAAAACAAGGAGAGATAGGAAAAGGGGAAACAAGAAGAATACATAGTAGCATATGGAACTTGCAAGTGTGTATAATGAATTTGAACAGAAGAGAGACTGACTTGCATAAATTTGCCATATATAAATACAAATAAAGCTAGAGCAGAATAGATAAAAAAACGAGGAGTAAAAAAATAGGGTAAAAAAATCATTACAGTAAATGTGTGTGTAAATGTCACTGACTATGATGAGCATTTGTACAATTGTGTGTCAAAAGCTTTAGGACTGACTTTTCAATCATACATAATTCTTTTGACTCTGAATTTCTGTTTTGTTAATAACAGTATGCTGAATCTGAAAAGTACCAGAAACATTAAATGGTGTGCATCTGTGGAGGAAAAAAATGAGCCTTTGGCACAGCCTTTCCTTCCAGCTCAAATGGAAACCTTTTCTGTAGGTGTGATGGAATCTTTCACTCATTATTGTAGAACAGAATTCTTCCCCACAGCACACAGCAGGATCATTCTTTCACATTAACCTTTTTATATAAAGGCACAGGTTATTTGACTACTCATTTTCTGTAAGTATTTTTGAAAATGTTAAGATATTGTGTTTGAATGCATAAATACACTACTTTGGATTTTTCCCCCTTGATAGGTGTGTCCTTTTCATTTGAAGCTGATGGTAGCAACAGAATGACTTTCATGACCTCTGGGAAAGTATCCAGTAGTGTCTCTTGGGCAGCTGGAGAAAAAGGAATCCCCTTAATTCCTCCAGTATCTCAGCAAAACACAGGCATTCCAAGGTAATGAGACAGGAATTTTCAGTGATTCATGGGAAAGATTGTAGTAGTATTTTTTAAAAAAATATTTCATAATCAAGACTTTTCATAATCTTTTTCCTTAAATTTAGATGTTTTACTTTGTGCTGTAACCCTCTGCATGTATCTCAGGATACATGTTTTTGGTAAATGTATTTTAGTTAGAAATCTTTCCTTTTAGCATTTTATTTCTAGAAAATTCAATCTAATTAATTCAATTTTATGGTTTTCTAATAGAAAGTGAATATATTGTCAGGGAACCTTCCTGTAATTATTTTGCTAAGAGCAGAAACTCCAGTTCTTTCTTATCTGAACTGCATTTGGAGAGGCTATGTCTAATCTGCCCAGAGGCTGCAAGTTGGTTATTGTAGATTATTTGTCCATTCTATTGCTTTTATTTAATTCCATAAAGCCAAAGAGATTATACATAAAGGCTGCTTTTGTAAGCCCTAGGTACCTTTGCTATAAACCCTTAAAACTTTTCCCATAGTTATTAATACTGTGCAAGTATGCGTACTTCTTCCAGCTGATTCATTTGTCAGGTTTTCATTTATTTAGAAGCTAGACATTGTCTTACAAATCATTCTGTTACTACTGTTAACCAAGCTGAAGCCATTCAAGTACTTTGCTGATCAGCATATCAGTACTCTGCTGACTTCAGTGAGAGTAGAATAGGTGAGATTAAAATGTAAAGATGGATTCCCAACAGCTAACTTTAACTCTGGAGACTAATCACTGTAATAAATGGAAAACTAAAGAATTTCAAAAGGAAGTTTTCTGTGAAACACTCTTCTTTGAAACACTTTGTGAAGATGAACAGCTCCCTGTGACTTTGCATTGTCTGTTGGGAAGGTCAGAGACAGGATTTTCATGACTAATGTTAGCTTTTGCTGCCCATGAGCTTTTTAGAACAATTGTGATTCAGTTGGCATTTGTTCAGGACTGATGCCTAAAGATAAACTTGATGTTCCTGCTTTATCTGCTGCTCCAGTAACTGCTGGATATTTAGCTGATTCTTACCAAGCACAAGACAGACTTGTAAGTTTCAAAGCTTTCTTGAAAATACTCAAGTAGAGATCAAGGACTGAAACTAGCACCCCTAACATGAGAAGGGGCAACATCCACTCCAGTGGTATTTGGCTAATAAATAACACACGTGTCGTGGTGTATTGGCCTTCTGTGTCAAGGTTTGAGTAGCAGTGAGCCTTCATAGGTGGCTTCTGTGAGAAGATGCACATGGTGAGCAAGGCAGTTACAAAATGGCCTCCAGACCACCTGCCATACTTCTTGCCTACTGTGAATACAAGAAAGGGAGTAGGAGCACCCAGAGGATAAAGACTTGTAGTTACAGGGAGGATCATAAGCAGTGCTGCATCACAAGAGAGAAGGCTGCTAGGGTTTCCCAAGCACAGGCAGTGTCCTCTCCAGCCAGCATGCAGTCTGGACATGGCAGGCAGAGCAGAGTGCTGGCAGCAGTCCCAGACATGGTGAGGGAATGATTCAGGCCCAGGGTCTATGCAGAAACAGCAAGGAGGGGGCAGAGACGAGGGCTGAAATGCAGGGCTGAAAGCACCATCCAGGAGGACAAGTCAAAGACAGGAGCTAAGATACAACACAAATAAGGACTGTCTGTCTGAGAAGTTCTTTGTCAAAACTTCTATGTTACCTTTCACAGTGTGAGGCAATTTATCTTCTTACTTGCAGCAATGTGGAATAGCATAGGTATATGAGGAATATATCAAAAAGCAGTTTCTTAGCTGTATAAAAGTTGTCTTCCACCAGTTCCTTCATGTTTCCCATTTACTTTGCTTTGCAGCTGATCATTCCCTCAATTCCATAGCTACAACTAAGAACTGTGAACTGGAATTTACTATTCAGGTTGTGGGGAGCTTTTTGGGCTTTTTTAAGATTGTTTTAAATACTTTTTTTATATTACTAAATCAAATGTGCTTTAGGTGTAAGTCATGTCAATTCTGTCTTTTTAGTGCTTTAAAAAATATTGATGCTATTGCATCCATTGGCACATCAGGTCTAACTGATATGAAGAAACTAGCTAAGTGGGCAGCTGAAGCAAAACTTGATCCAAATGACCCAAACAATGCAGCTCTAATGCAGCTGATCATGGTAAGTGGTGTTTTCAGAGCTATTGGAGTTGTGCAACTCCTAGTCACCAGAACCTCCCCAGACAATCTGTATGCATGCCAGGGAGATAGCAGCATTTGAATTCATGGTGGACATACTTGTGTGAATGGTAAGAAGCAAAATATCTACTAAAAATATGATTAATGCATTTAGTAGTGTGTTGTTTACATATTAATGAATATGACTTATTAATCCACTCAGCAGTGGCAAAAAATAGGTGTAAGGGAATGCGCATACAGATCAGTTAATAAATTAAAAACAAAATATGGATTTTGGAGTTTGTTGTTTCTTTTAAAGTGCAAGGGAATTTCCAGTGTACTTGGGTGGTACTAAATAAGAAGCTGCTCTTTAATGAGGATTGCACAGAGATCTCGGATGTTGTAAAGGCTTCAGCTTTTCTGAACAACAAATTGAGGAGCTGTTTACATAGCTGTTTAATTTACATGGCTGTTTATTTACATAGCTGTTTAATTTACATAGCTATTTACAAAGCTGAAGTTCTGTAAATTGATCTCCTTTACCATACAGTTTCCTAGGTTACTCTGACATGTTGTAGTTTTCATGCTTTCTGATCTTTTGTTTATGATACAAGGAAATAGAATTTTATTATATTCTGTAATGTATAATCTCATATGCTTTGCTCAGCAAAACACTGCTACAAAATACTTGGTGTTTCAGTCTGTGTGATCCATCTTTTTTGCTTTTGCTTAAAATTAACATCCTTGCAATATGCATGTAAAACTTACAAAAGCTATTTTATGGATATTTGTCACTTTGTATGAAAAAGTTAATATTTTTGTTACTAATTTAGATTGCTACAAGTGGAGAGGCACACGTTCCTGATTTCTTCAGATTGGAACAGTTGCAGCAAGAATTTAATTTTGTTTCTGATGAGGAGTTTAATAGATCAAAGAGATTCCGACTGTTGCAGCTCAGAAATGAGGAGGTGGCAGAGTTCCGAAACTATAAGCAAGTCCCTTTACATGAACGAGAAATCAGTGAGAAAATCTTCCAGGTAGAATGTTATCTGAAATACTTCTTTTCTACTTTAATTGCTTATAATATTTGACTTGCAGTTAAGTCAAGCGGTTCTTTAAAGAATGTAAAGCTATGCTGACATGAAAAAACCAAGAATTTTATTTCTTTAGTCTTTTCTAACGTTATTACTAGCTTCCTTCCAAGGCAGTATTTCCACAGCCATACTTCGTTAAGAGTTAAATAAAACAGTTTAAAAAAACTGCTGTAAACAAAAATGTTATAAGTTAGTAGTTTTCATTACAGTTGAGATTCTTTTTTAAAAAGTGATTTTAGATATAAAAAGGTAATTCAGAGATAATTCAAGCTTCGTCCTATTAGCTTTTGAGCCCTTTTTTGGGGGAGGGACTGTTAGAAGCAATAACTCTAACAAGAATTAAAACCTTTCTTTTGTTTTATTAGAGCCTGTGTTACAGATATTCCTGTTATAGTACATTGCTCCAATTGGCTTACCTTGTCCTTGCCTGCCTGTTAATTACCTTATTGAAATGCAGTGTGTGCATTTTTTTTAATTTGGGTTATACTTCAATTATTTTTATCTCAACTGTCTTATTAGTGTTAAGTCATGCATTTTTTTTTCTTAGCAATTCATATACCTAAGGAGCATTTTAGTATGTTCTTTGGCTTAGGAGGATCAGAGTCACCTCATATTCTGGCAAGTTCTCTTTCATCCCTACTTCTTCTGACATAGATTTATTTGAAAAATTACTTTTTTCCTTTCTATTGGATGATATTTTTTAAAAAAAGATATTTATTAATTCAGACATATCTATCTCTTTGGATATTTTAGGTTAGTTTTGTATCTTTTATTTAAATATGTACCACATGTTTGCTGTATGTTTCTAAACCAGTTCATTTTATGGGCTATTTTCATTCATTTTATGTTATCATTCAAAATTTGAAAATCATAGTTTAAGAATTATTTCAATGGAGTGTTGGTTTTTTTCCATTAAGGATAAATTGGATAAACCCATGATTGCCCATTCCAAGTTTATTTTATATGCTGTGATCTTCAAAACTAAGTTTCAAGTGATTTGTTCCTAGTTGATTTACTAGCTATTTGGCAAAAAGGTCTGGAAGTTCGTAGAATCATGGAAATACTATTTGGAAAATATTCTCTGGAGATCATCTGGTCCTGCTTTCCACTGAAGTGGTGGTACTGTTGCCAGCACTCGATGAGGTCAGCTGTTTATTTGTCTAGCCAAGTCTTGAAAACCTCTAAATGGGAGACTCCACTGCCTTTTTGAACAACCTGTTCCCGTGCTTTGCTATCCTTCCAGAGATTGTTCAAAAAAAAAAAAAAGAAAAAAAAGTCATGTCTAACTTGAGCTTTCGAGGTTGTGTTTAATGGCTGCTTTCCCTTGTTGTATTGCCTGGAACTAGAGAGATTATTTTGGCACCCTGTCCTTTGTAACTGCCCTTCAAAGAGTTGTGGGCAGATACTGCATTGCTCATTAATCTCTTCCTCACCAGACTGATGAATCTGAACACCTTGCCCAGTGCAAGAACAACTCTGAAACACTGGAGTAAGTCCAGTACAGAGCTGTCAGAACATGTGCAGTGCTGAAGCACATGAGCAACAAGGAGAGGCAGAAAGGACTAAGGTTGTTTGTGCCTAAGCAGGCAAGGCTTGAGGGGGTTTCTTACTGCATCCTTCAGGTACCTAGTGGTGCAGAGAAAACAAGAGAGAGACTCATCTTAGAGGTGAGATGATGATAGACACAAGTTACTCCCAGTGACATTGCAGTTAAATATAATGAATACATTTTTCACTAAGAACATGTTTAAGTTCTTGAACACATTGTCCATCAAGTTTGTAAAATTGCCATCTCTGGAGATAGTGAAAATTCAACCGTCCAGGGCCCTGAGCATTCTGATTGGCGTTGTTCCAACTCAGAGCTCAGATCAGATGACCACCAGAAGTCTCTTCAAATTTACATTATTCTAGGATTCTGACCTCTTCTTGTAGTCATGTCCTCTACGTCTCTTGCTGTCTTAGTAGCCCTTCAGTGGATCCCATCCAGTGTCTCCACATGCCTCTTGAATTGGCAGCTGCAAACTGGCTGCAGTATTTCAGGTATGCCCCCTGAAGTGTTAGGCTGGAGAGGCTGGTAGTTTCCCTTTGTCTGTAGGACATGCTGATCCTTATGTATCCTGTGGTTTGCCTTTGGCCAAGAACATGTCACTGGTCGTCATTAAACCCAGACTTATTTCAATATGGCTGTTATTCTTCTGTTTGATTTCCAGTCTGTGCCAGTGCAAATTTTTCAATCCTCAATACAGAATTTTCCCTTTTTGTAACTGAGGCTTCAGTTGTCGTAGTTTTAAGTCATAAAGAGCCCTCTGAACTATGGTTCAGTCACTCATATTAACCATTCTTCCTAATCAAGTATCCTTGGCTAAATTACTGTCAGTGCATTGAGTTTCCTCATCCAGATCACTTCTGAAGAAACTGAATATAATCAATCCCAGAGGTCCTTTGCTTTTTAGAGGACGCTAATTAGACATTGAGCTGTTTGTCCTTACTGTTGGAGCTCAGACCTGAGGATTAATTTTACTAAGTACTTTTACATAACTCATTGTGGTTCTGAAGCCAGTGTGATTCTCAGATCCTGGGAGAGCCTCTTGAGTTGTAAGCTATGGTTTTTGCTTGAAAGCTGAGTGTTAGCTCTAGCCTTTCTTAATTTATGAGACACTTTCCTATACTTGTGAATACAAGTCTCATCTCTCAGTAGAGCTTTCACTGTTGGCCCATCTATCTCTCACAGCCCTGAGAGATATCCCATCAACATACTTCTTCCTAAGAACCAAGTGCAGTTCTACTCACTAAGTGAGTTTTACAATCTATGAAAAGTAATTACTAATTATTTGGAAAAGTTTTTACTAGTATTAAAACACAGTTCAGATTTCTGACGATCCTCCAAGAATCCTGCATCATTTCTGCTTGTAAAGGACTCTTACTGTTAAAGCTGCAATAGGTGAAGCCACTTGCAGTTCAAGTGGAATTTCAGTTTATAACAGCAGGTCAAAATTCAGCTTTAAAAAAGGAGAAGGAAATTGTCAAGTTATTAATTGTAATTTAAACCACATAAATCTTGTAACTGAATGGTATTCTTGTCTCTGTTCATGAAAGTTTAGCATATATTGTATACACTAGCATTAAAAATAGCTTTACAAACTTCTCACATCTGCTGTGGTTCACTGTGGTCCTTACATTATTGTTAATGAAATATTTACCATTTTTTCTTACATGTGATAAAGTACTGAATATATATTGAAGCACAAACTGTAATAAATATCTTTAGGACTATGAGAAGAGAGTGCAAGAGAGGGATGTGATTGACAGCAAAAATTATCTAGATGCACACAGAGCAGTTGTTGCCAACTATCTACAGAAGGTAAGATGCTAAATATGTGCTTCACCATATTCCTGTAGGCCGTATGTTGCTTCAGTACTTAGAGACTTTATTTCCCTGAATACTAAAACCTGATTCATCTCTAAAAATGACCTACAGTTAGGCCTGAAACTGGTATAATTGAACAAATGGAGGTCTGTGTTATTTAATGGTATTGAGGATGATGCAATATACAAAATTAAAAGCCATTCTGAATATTTCTGTCAGTTCTGAAAATTCTTCTTTGCTTCAGTGCCCCAGAGATTTGTACTGTTGAGTCTCAGGAATTTAGTGATTTCCTTCCTCCCTGTTTTCCTTGTTGTGAGCTGTCATGCTAAGAGCTTAATCATCTCCATGAAAGTGGCCCTAATCACTTCTAAAAAATCATTTAATGTAATACACAGTGTCTTGTCCTGCAGCTTAAGGCAGAGAGCATATCTTCTGTCACATTCACCTTCATTGTGGTATTAGAGTAATTCTTCCCCTTATATTGATTTATTTATTTTTTCTAGTTTTCATTATATTAAGATGACATTCTCTTTAATCCTTAGGGAAAAAGAAAGAAAACATTCATCATGTAACCAAGAAAAGTTTACAATTTCAGACTGACAAAAAAGCAAGTGTGAAACATGGCTACCAGTTTCTTACCAGTTGTGTAAATATCAAAAAGTGTATCAAATCCTAGCCTGCCAGCAAAACACGAAATATAAGGTTTAATTAAAGTATGACAAAACAAATTATTGGTTAGAAAGAATGCTTCATGAAAGAAGCTTAGAGAAAAAAGTGTTTAAATCTCCCAGGCAAGTGCCAAAGTCCAGATTCAATATGAGTATAAAAATTATTTTTGACAAAGCTGTCATGTCTGTGTCAGCCCCATATGTTTTGCATGACATTGAACATATGGGTTTTGCAGCACACTGAATAGTAATAGAGTAGTACAGAATAGCATACATTATAGTACCTTTTTTTGCCTCTTTTGTAGACTAAATACAAGTAACCTTTTTTAAAACAGTACTTGGATACTTTACACTTCAGTAAATTGTCAGATGGACTAGAAAAGTAGGTTTCTTGTATCAAAACTGAAATTCAGTTCACTCTGAAAAGTGATCTTTATATGTGTATCACTTCTGATGTTGTACTAGCACAGAGTATAAAGCCACTCACTGCTAGCATTAGGTGCTAAGAGGAAAGGACAAAGGCAATATTATTTCAGTCTGCTTCCACATAGTTGTGGAGATGAGGGAAAACTTTTATCTCTATGCTTCACTCTATGACATCAGCAAAGATATGTAAGGAACTAAGAATTTTAAACATTTATTTGAAATCACAGTATTTTTAATACAGGCTTCACCAGTTCTGTAGTCCAAAGTATTTCTTTTGATCCACATAACTGGTACCATAAAGATTTCTCTACAGCCTTTTTTGCAGCTTTATTTAGATGTGGAAAATTATGTCTGTTGGTGTCATTTGTTTTTGTAATTGTTTCTGATGGTGAGCTGTAAGCAGATAAAGACATAATCTTTTGATTGTATGTTTTCATGTATTCTTCTATCAATCTAGGCAGTATGTTTCTAGAGAAGCATTGTATTGGTAAAATGAGCTGCTCTTACATTCTAAAGAAGTAGCTGGTGGAAAGAAATTTTTCTTTCAACTGTGACCCTTGTAAAATTTGGAAAAAATGAAGAGTATGTATGTGGATGTTTTGTGTTTAACAATCAGAATACAAACATTGGCAGTGGGTTTGGATTAAAAAGGCACTTCTTCTCTTCTCCCTCCCCGTTCACAGGTGCGAGAATCAGTAATCAACCGTGTCCTCATAGCAAAACACCATTTCATTCTCTCTGACCTTGTCAATGAAGAGGAGATTCCAGGCCTGGGGTAAGAGAGCTATCTTTATTTGTTCCAAATAAAAACGATTAATGTAAAACCACCTGCTTTTTTAATTTCTATTTTACAAAGTGTGTTGATGTGACTAACTAATGTGACTTTGCGTGTAGTATAATAGATAAACTTCCAATCGCTGTGCCAGTACAGTGTATTGAAAAACAAAGTGTAGTCAAAACTTCTTTAAGAAAAAGTCTGGTTTTGACAGAAATAAAGTGACAGTGTGTAAATAAGATATACAAGGATATGATGCATTTCTGATGAGCTGAGCATTGTCCATGTGGTGCCAGATTGAATATTTCCAATTTTCAGGCAAGTATCAGAGTTAGTAACACTATTACTGACTGGTTCTGTAGGTGATGCCTCCATACAGTCATACATACCCTGTAAATAATGTGCAGTAGATTTTTAACTGTAATTTTCTTTTACTTCCCATATACTTCTGATGCTGAATGTTCTCATATACTGCTTATGTTCAAAAAATATACCGAGTTTGGAAATTACTGCTTTTCTCTTCTAAAATAATTTTTTCTTTTAATACTTGAGTACTTTGGATTTTTGTTTCAAATCCCATACCTATCAATTTTAACATGTATCAATCATCACAGCATAGATGGATCGTAGTGTTGCTCATTTAAAATCTGTGTAAGTGAACAAATTGTGAAACTTATTTTTTTCTTTCATGTAGAAGTTGCTTCTGTTCACTCTAAACACAACACCCATATACAATCAAAGTGTTTTTCAACCAGCTGTATAAATCTAAACAGTCCCATCTGCTGGAGACACAGAGACTTGCTCTTTTACAAAAGACTTCATGCTTGGTTTTAGTTGATGTTTTCACATCACAGTAGAGAAAAATCTGAACAAGACTACAATTAGCTTTTGGTTTAGAATCAAATGCTTCATTTATATTTTCTCATCATGAATCCTAATTCATATTGTATTCTATTTGCAAAGATTATGGTTACTGAATTTAAAATACACCGTGGCTTGTTTAATATTCACTTAGTGAGATATTTCAGTGACTCATGATTCTGTGCTATTTTAACAGTAATTACTGTGGGGGCTTTATTACATATAAGAAAGAAATGCCATTAGCTATCAGTTTTTAAGTGTGTTTTTTGAATGTCTGCAGTTGATATCAATGATGTAAACATTGCATATATCTGCATAAATGAAACACACATCTTCATTTTATTGTTTTCCTGTTTTTCTTTTTTCCTTTGGTTCTGCTTTGCCTTGGGTTATAAGTTCTGAGGGTCCAGGGTATGTTGTGGTGTATTGATTCTGCTTCCTCTCTGTAGCCTGTTACTCAGTGTACATAGCTATGTAGATAGATGCTTTGCCTCTTATATACAGTGGTTATCATCATCTGCTAGATCCCTTGTTTATAGCACTGTAGTTTAGATCTGGCTTGAAGTAATTGTCTTTTTTGCACCTTACATAGTTTTGGGGGAAAAAAAACCACAAACAACCAAACTTTTTTGCACATTGAAGTTATAATTCCTGAAATATAAGACAGAATTGGATTAGTGCAGTACTAAACAATTGCAGCATTTTGACATTTCAGGGAGTTTTGTTTGGAGCAAATATTTCCTTTTCGTGTTAGTGCATAATTTTCATGTGGGTCACGATAACACTGGAATGCTGGATTCTATGCAAAACTGACTAAATACCTGGTTTATGATTATTAGCATTTTGGGACTTGGCCTCTTTAAACTGGCAGAGCCAAAACGACCATTAAGGCCAAGAAGAAAAGAAAGGAAGAAGGTCACAGCACAGAATTTATCCGATGGAGACGTAAAACTGTTAGTGAACATCATCAGAGCGTATGATATTCCAGTGAGAAAGCCAGTGATGAGGTATGTTTAAAAGCTTGTTTCCAGTACAGATTCGTTTTCTGGCTTCTTCTGTTTTGAGGACAGATGAAGCAACAGATGTTACAATTCAGCCATGTGTGTTGATTCTCAGGATAAAAACATACAAATATACATTTATCTTTTCACAAAGATGATAAAGGACTGATATTTTGTAAGTTTGTAGATTAATATAATAATTTTTCAGTAGCTGTGAAATTCAAGACATGTTTTACCAGTAACTGTCAGAAAGATCAGTTACAGCTTTGACAGCATTATAACTCTGGTAATACCAGATGAATTATCCCTTAAGGAAACCTCTTGATAATACTCAGGGAAATTTTAATTCATAATATCTTAATTAAATACCAAAAACAAATATTAAAAAATCCAGTTCTTCACTGTGGGATACTATATTTGTCTCCTGAGTGCAGCATGTTGATCTTCTCCTTGATGAACCGTTTAAGTTAATAGACTGAGCCTAATGTGGCTCTAATTTTAAAGGTGACCTTTACACTCAGGCACATTAAGACAATGCCTGCACTGCATGATGGTGTGTCATGTGGAGACACTGAACAGTCTGCTTCAGCTCCAGAAGCAATGTATTAATGCAGTGTTCACTCTCTCTCTCTGCCCCCCCCCACCAAAATTAATACACCTTGCATTTAACTCATTTGACTTTATTTCCAAGCTGGCCAGTTGCAGAATTTAGCATTGTTGGCTGTTCTTTCTCTTACGCTATTAGAGGTTCTGTTGCACTCTGTAAATAAATTGATACTGAGAAAAGCAAATCATTGACAGGAAAAAGAAGATGAAAAATTCAATTCATTACCAGAATTACAACAATAATTAAAACCTCATCTAGTCTTTTTGCATTATATGGTATTTTATTTTGAGCTGCTTTATACGTTAATAGGTATTCTTTTATGGTCTATAATGTGGTCTTACCACAAAATGTTATGTGGAAGTGCTGTGAAAATAAATGTTTTAATATATATTGTCTTCTACTTCACTCATGGGTTGAAAATCTGTAATATTCATATGAATTCTTTTTTGCCATAGAGGCCTTGCCTGAATACCATGAGATATACATGGTTCATGAATTCTGCAGGGATTCAACTACTTGAACTTAAAAACTTGTAGTGAAAGAGATTGTGTAGGGTAGGCAAAAAAAAAACAAAAAAAACAAAAACTCTGCAGTTAATAAACTCTTCAGAAAAGAGAGCCTCCAGGCACAAAGTCCTCTTTTGCAATGAGGCTTGTAAGAAGTATACACTCAATACCCCTTTCTGGCATTTTATGTGATCTAATAAATATCTTCCCAAGGTTAAAATTGTAACAAAAACCATCAGGAGTATTGCCAGTATCTGTATGGCTAATAGACAATGTGAGGGATTAATATTTAGTAATGAATTCTCTGTCTTCCCTGATTGTTGTTGTCTGTTTCCTCTTGTAGCAAACTTCAACAGCCATCAAAGTCTTCAAGGTCCTTTAACGAGATGTTTGCAGCCTCTCCATCAGCTCAAAGCCCACCTAACAGCCCAGACTGGGCATTCAACCAGGTATGTTACAAACCTGACATCTTCTGTGAAGCTGTGAGCATTTTCCACAGACAGTAGCATTCACCTTCAGAAAGATACCTTATTGGTAAGGTTTCCTTGCCCACTCCTTTGTCTCCAGAAGGAGAGTAAATCTGCAAAAGGTTCAGAGAAGAATATACAGAATGGCTCCTGCCCAGTGAAAAATGGTGGGACTTTGAGCCAGAAGACCCATAACTGTGAGTAGAGGAGGAGAAATATGGTAGAAAAGCACAAAATAAGAAGTCATAGACACTGGATAAGGATTGACTGTTTCCTGGCACTGTACGTACAAATGTGAGTGATGGGCAAAGGAAGCTGGTAGGAGTTAGGTTCAAAACAAACCTTCAAAGAAAGTTGTGATTCTTCATTCAGCAGCTGGTCAGTGCCCAGAGAAGTTGCTTGCATGTATTGTGGATGAAAGAGGTTGGTTTGTGCTGAAGTGGGTATTGGGCAAGTATGTGAAGAGTGATCCATTGGGAGTTACTTAATAGAAAAATCATTACAGACTTAGGAAAGTCTTTCATCTGAAAATGTTTGAAGTTTTTCTCTGTGTGTTGGCTGCTGGCTGTTTTCATAGGCTGCACTTTGGGTCCAGTACACTCCTAGTTTAAACCAGCACAGAATTCTTATGGCTGACACTGAAATTACAATTTCTTGCTATTTAAAACTAAATTCAGCATCCTTTTGAATGAAGATGAAAGACCTTCAGGGTTTTTACTGGTTTCCTTGTGATTTTTCTTCAAAATTACAGCTTTTTGAAATGTAGAAAAGCTTCTGCCATATGCATTTGAATAAGGCATTTTTAATCACATTAGGGGTTTGTTTTGTCTAGATGAAGTTGCTTATCTGTCATAGGAGCCAGTTTCAGGGACAACTGGGATTGTAGCTGGAGGCTTCTTGGATTACAGATAAGAGGATACAAGTGCACTTTTTTCCACTGGTGACTGGATCACATGTTCTCTTTCAGTTACTTTCCTTGATTAGATAGTCTGTAACTTTTCCACTCTCAGGAGAAAATATGGTTTTGCCAGTGTATATAAATACATCAAGTATTTTGAATACACATAAATTTTTGGAAATGCTAGTGTATAAAATATTTTTAAAAGCTTCATAAATGCTTAGAAACCCATGAAGTGCAATATTTAAGGTGTATTAAAGTTATATCTGGCCTGAACCAGCCTGATTGCCACAATGTATGTTTTTCTAAATGCATGAAATGTGTAATTTAATGTGCTGTGATGAATTTCCACAGAGGTGTGTTTCCTTTGTTTTGATATCTATTTCTAGGTTTTGGTCCGTCCTTTTGTAGAAGTTTCTTTTCAGCGAGCAGTCTGCCGGACAACAACAGCAGAAGGTCCAAGCCCCTGCTGGAATGAGGAACTTGAGCTTCCTTTTAGGTATGGCAAAATGAAACCAAATTATTTCTGCATAATAATAGTTTAATTTGAGCATGCAAATTTATCTTCATTTTCCTGTACTGTTCAAATCACTTTTTTTGATTTATTTAACCTCTTCAGAGCTCCTAATGGTGACTACAGCACCCACAGTTTGCAGACAGTAAAAGATGAAGTCTTCATTAATGTTTTTGATGAAGTACTTCATGATGCTGTAGAGGTGAGTTCATAACTGAAGGACATTGTACACTAGACAGCATTGTGAGCTTTTTGAAGTTGTCAGACCAAGAATTTTCCACGTAATGACTTCTCCCATCCTGTGCCTCTCTTTTCTCTATTTTGTCATTCCTTATGATTTTATATCTGGTCAACACTGCAAGGTTGTCAGAGGGAGCAATCTTTACAGTGTTAACCTTTATAAAAATTCAGCTTGTGCCACATAAAGTGCTGCTAGAGTTGAACACATCACATGTGTGTAATATGTTTTACTGATACTTAATGAAGTTGAAGATCCTAAAATTGAGGCATCATGAATTGTAATCTGAATTCTGTTCTTAACCTGAATCAGAGCTTTTTACTTCATTCCAGATGAGTGATCCAGGTTCTTGTATTTTTTGCTAACTATCTTGTTATGCTTTATCTCATCTTGTTTTACAAGCTTTTTGGTGAAATAAAAAAAAAAAAAAGCCCAAACCATCTTTGGTTGTTTGTAGTAATTATTTTGAATGAGACAAGAATTGCAAGTACTAGTAACAAGAAATTTTTGTAAGCTCTCAGTTTTGGCATAACTCCTTCCCCTGTTGAATCCAGTGAAAGCTTTCCTAGTCAGTTCAGCAGACACAAAAATAGCAGCACTCAACATTCTTGAAAACATAACCCAGAAATAAATAATGCACACACTTCACTGGGAACAGAATTCTGTCCTCAAAACTGAAATGATACTTGATGAAGCAGAAGGAAGAAAGCTACACACTTGAAACTTGGATGTCATGCCAGAGGTTTTTTTAAAAATAATTCTAGGCTGATCATAAAAGATTTGGAAATCTGATAGGCAGCACACATGAAAACAGTTTTTCCCATTTCCAGGGTTTACTTAGATTTTCGTACAATTTTAACTTCAAAAAGCTCTTCTAAATACTAATAGAATATTTCATTACAGGACCAGAGCTGCATTTACTTTGTCGAGAAGAGTGTTGTGGACTCCTTATCAGAGTTTTAAGTTCTCTTATGTTATACAGGACTTAAACCCTAGAGTGCAAGCACGTTGTATCATGGACTGTAATATATATTTTCAGCATCTGGTGTGCTTGAAAGTTGTGCAGAATAATTACTGCTGCACAAGTAATGGAGCTGATACTTACAGAAAATGAATACAGAATTTTTTATTAATGTCTTGATTCAATTGTTGATTGAATGAAAGGAAATGAAGCTGTCTTACAAAGTGTTATATTGGGCAACTTTTTAATAGGATGATCGTGAAAGAGGAAGTGGAATCCACACTCGTATTGAGAGGCACTGGCTGGGATGTGTTAAGATTCCTTTTACCACCATATATTTTCAAGCAAGGGTAAGTGATTTTATTTGAAGTAAAATACAGAACTGAGAATGGAAAAGGGCTGGAAATGGAATGTCAGATTTAATTATATTCTTTGCAATTGTTAGTTTATTTTTATGGGATTGTTTGAAGATGCCTTTGAAACCACTGGGATTTTTTGGACAGATTTAATGAGTATTTCCCAGAAAGTTCAAGGTTTAGAAGGGAGAAGAGACAAAATATACTCAACAGTGGCAATGCAGCCTGACTTCCTTCAGTAGCAATGTTTTACACAGATTTTTTTGGGTGGTTTTCTCAGTGGCTTTTGAGGGCTCTGGTATTGCACAGTCTAGATGGATGAACTAGGAATAGAATCACCTAGATACGTGAGGAAATTTGAACTTCTTTTTCACCCTTTCCACGAATCACAAGATTTTGATCTTTGCCTCTCCCAATCCCTTCTTTCTTCCAATTCTAGAACTTTTCAAGAGAAACTTTCTTCAAGAAATAGTCACAGTTAGTCTTGGGAGTAGTAGTAAAATATGCTCTTCTTCAGAGGAAATATTTTTTTTGTCCAACCACTCATCCTGGACTTAGTTTAAGGAAACTACTTCTTTCCATTGTTAGTCCTATCATATTGTAATACAGCTGTAATGCATACTTCTACATGGCAGTTGCTTTTTCCTGTAGATCAAATCATCTGATCACAAAAGTCAGAATCTTCATGAAGCGAGAAACTGAGACATCAGTTGCATTCCTAATGACACATTCATTTACTATTCTCTGGCCATATGGGGCACTTTTAGGAACCTTAATGACTTCAAGACATACTCTGAGCCGCCCAGATTTTTTGGGTGGAGGGAAAGTCTGTAGGAGTCTCATTTGTGTGCAGTACTTGGTGATCAAAGTGGTTTTCCTGGGCTATCTGCAAAGCGTAACAGAATGTGAATGTTACAGGATTCAGGAAAGCATGGGATACTTTTCATTGCTGAGAAATCTTGGTCAGTCTGTGTCTAAGGAGGCTAAGTCCACTTGTTTCTGCTAGATCATTAATACTATGTGCTCTTCAACTTGAGAGGTTAATCAGTTAATTTTTCTCTTTGAGAGGTGTAGCTTTCACTGATTTTAAAGAAGATGTGAGTAGTAAGAGGATCTGACCTTCTTTTCATGAGTCTTTGGCCATCCTGTGCAGAAAATGCCACATCATGTGATCACCATTGCTATATGTCATCAAACAGGAAACAACATAGTCCAATGGTCATTTCTGGGGAATTGTTCCATATTGAATGAATGAAATCTACCTGAGAAGTGTGTCTGCTCACAGAGAGACCTAATGGGCAGACTTGACATTTTAACAGACTGCTTACCAATACAGCCACCATCCACAATCCATCTTCAAGGATTTCCCATACTGATGTCAACCCCTGTTCTTCAGCTTCTTGGTCTTTCTGCTGTAGAACCAGAGTAGCTCCAGAATTCCTGTCAGATACTTCTGAGTCTCTTTGAGGAGGTCATGATTGCCTAAGCAGAGTGTGAGTGCTTGTATAGATCTTCCCAGCAGTAGAGATTCTTTGCATTTGAATAGAATTTCATATGGAATTTGAAAAAACCTGATAAGCACAGTGGTTACATCAAGGTGCATCTAGCAACTAAATTTCAGTAGCAAATGAAGCATTTCATCATCCTGTTCTAATACTCTGGAGCAGAAATTTTGAGTGATATATTCAGTTTTCTCCTCATCAAAACTTAATTTTGTTCTTAAATGTTTGATGAGCCGTGCCAGTGAGTCATCTGTTCATTTCCATCTTCATCCACTGAAGATACCCTTTCTGGTGGAAGTTGCCTCAATTGTGTCCAAATCAAGAGCTTACTGTTTTTGCTTTTCTGTTAAAGCTGGGTACTTCCACTATTGAAACCTGCCCAAGCAGGTGTGGGCCTGCCATCTCTTGTGTCATCCAGCCCTTCAGAAAGACCTTATTCTCTGTTTGTGGTAACAAAGGGAGCTGCCAAGCGCTGGTGGGTCTGGCAGAGTCATTCCATACAGAAGCTGGATAAATGGGCCCAGTTCCAGTTCCACCCAAGGAGCATCTTGTGTTGTGCATGGAAGAGATCTCTGAGATGCTGGAGCATCCTTCCCACATGACTCATAGGCAAAGGCCTGTTAGTCTGCTGCTGCCTTGAGAAGCATAGTCATGCAACCTGTATTTTGCCATTTTTTTCATTTTTCCAGGTAAACAGAGCCATGTAGAGTTTGCTGTTTGAAAGAAAAGTAGTGAAATGCCAGCAGTCTTTCTTTCTCTGTGAACTAGTGTGTATGATTTCCATTTCATTAAATGTTAGTGTTCATAATATGCAAGAGAGGCTGAAATCAAGTTGTGATTAATATATTTAACAATGAGATACCTCATGTTTTCCCCACAGTTAATCAACATAAATGTTATAATCTCTCATTTTATTATTTTGTAACTTAAACTAACAATCAAAAGAAGAAAATATGCAGACACAAGTAGCAAATTTATGTGAGAGGGCTTTTTTGCTTTTAATGAGAAACATTTCTCAGTATTTTCTGTATCTGTTGTAGATTGATGGTACATTTAAGATCAATATTCCTCCAGTCCTCCTTGGCTACAGCAAAGAAAAGAGCGTGGGTATGGAGAGAGGTTATGATTCTGTGCGAAATCTGAGTGAGGGCTCATATATAACACTGTTCATTACCATTGAACCACAGCTCATCCCCGGAGAGTCTGTCAGAGAGAAGGTAACTAATCACTAATTCATCATACTCTTGCTCTTTGTTTCCAGTGGTGCACTTCTTGAGATGCATATTAATAGCTCTCCTTAGTGTACCAAAGGACATGAATGCAAGTACAGAAGGACATTCATACAAATTTGGGGTAGTTTATTTTAATTTTTTTTATCTCAGTTCAATTTAATTAGATGCACTATTAAGTGAAATGTGCACTTAATGCATGAAAAATAACTTTGCCCAGGTATCTAATTTTAGTCCTAAGAGAAAGCAAATTGGCATTCCTCTCTGTGAGCATATAGTTTTTCCATGTACTTGTGTAAACAATAAAGCATTTGTGTGAGTATTTGTGAACAGCGGACAAAAAGGAGGTGGCAGGTGCGAAATGTATTTTCTTGCTTCTGTGTTTATACTGTTCAAATGAGCATTTATTATTTATGGCTTCATGCATGCCTCGAGATCTTGAAGATAATAATTCCTAAACAGCAGCTGCTATTTTTTTCAGTTTCATTAGTAAACCAGGAGTGCCTTAGACTAACAACAATAGTCATTACAATTCTTTGCTGCAACTCTCCAGCTGCAACACATACACCTATTATAGAAAGAGTCTGGCATATTATGCAAAAAAACAACCTAAATAATTTGCCATACTTTCTTCCTATTCCTGACCTGCAGTTAATTTGAAATGCTTGTGTAGTGCTTTAGGATGCTAAGCATAATTTCAGTTTAATTTTATGAAACCTTTTTTGTTTCTTTACTTATTTTTCCTCTCTTTCCTGCTGTCCTTCCTGAACCTCTATTAGATGAATGAAATGCTTAAGAAGGTACAACATTAATAAATCAGTTGAGATACTCCTGTTGTTCCCAGTTTAAGATTTAGCTCGGGTTTGTGCCATTCAGCAGCTTTTCTGTAGTTTGTGTTACTTGACTGTGACATAGTAATTGTTTATTTGCCAGAAATATTTGCAGTAAATTGCTGCATTTAAGTTTACAACATGCCAGAGGCTCTACTTTCTGCTCTTAATTATGGTGAAGAAGAATCACCACTGTGTGCCTTCTCTTCTAACTTGGAGGTCTAGCTGCAGGGCAGTGCCCAGTTCCACCTCAGGTTAGTTTAAGAGTAACAAATTACAAAACTGGCTTATTTTAAACAAAAACATTAAAAAGGATGAACTTTAATTCTCAGCACCACTGGAAGTATACAAGGAATTCTAAATAGATAATTTTGACCAATCTTAATACCTTTAAAAGATGACATCTTAGGTACCATCATAAAATAATTGTCACTGTTTTATAATTAATATGTGCTTTTGAGTCCTATATTTGCTTCTGAAAAATCCTATTTAACCATGTGGAAATTTTAGACACCTCTGAATTATAAGGATTCATCTAAAATTCACTTGAACCTTCTCTGCAAATATTTTGGCATTGGGCAGTGTTGTTGCAGTATTATTTATATAAAAATCATTGAGATTTTACGCATAATGTCAATTGTGGTTTTAATGGAATGCTGTGGGAATAGCACATAGGATTAGTACCTAACCATAATTGTTTACTTTTGAATTAATATCTGGTGTTACATCCTCATGCCTCCAGTGTTACTTGGCCATTACTTCCACTACATTTTTCAGTGCTTTAATAAAGCCAGCTTATCTGTACAGATCATTATGGGCATTCATATGAAGTGCAAAATGCTTGATTTTCCATTGCCTTGACCTTCCTTTTATGTCTGTAAGCAAAACTTTATACTACAAGGCAAATTCAAAGTGCTATTAGAAAAGAATTTAACAATCATTTTATTGTCCTCTAAATGATGAAATATAGCCAAATATGGTAAAGACTTAAGTCCAAACCATAAATAAAACTGGTTTTGTATAAATTCTACTGTCTTTTGAAGTTTGATACCCAAGAAGATGAGAAACTGCTCCAGGCAGCAGAAAAATATGAAGCTGAATGTACATCAAAGTTCCCAAGCCGCCAGTGCCTAACAACTGTAATTGATCTTGATGGAAAAACAGTTTTTATTACCAGATATATCAAACCTCTGAATCCACCACAGGAGCTTCTTGATGCTGTCCCAGATAGATCTCAAACAGCAGCAGTAAGTACTTAGAAAAGATAGTGAAGTCTCTGGGATGCAGATTTCAAGATGTTTGTTTGTTTGCCTTGGCACATGCACATAAGCTTTTGTGTCTCTGCTGTACACCTTTTGCAAAGGAAAAACTACAGATACAAAATAAAATTAGTAATGACTATGAATAACTATGTGTAATACACAGTAAGTCCAACAATAATGATACCGTAAAATAATATTTGTTTTCTCTGGGGAAAAAATAAGTCTGTTAATGAGTATTGCCCTTTAAAAGACAAAGAACTATGTCAAACCTCAGTGGCAGTAAATCATATCAGTCTTCTATACAAATTCTAAAATGAGCTAGCTGCTACTGTACTGAGGTTCCTCAGTGTTTTGTCATTGAGTAGAAACAGCAATATTCTTCAAAACTGGTATAGTAACACTAGAGCATTTTGAATTAAAGGGGTGACCTGCTCTGTTTTGTTTTCTTGCAGGAACTGGTGGCTCGATATGTTGCTTTGATTCCTTTTTTGCCAGATAGTGTGTCATTTGCTGGAATTTGTGATTTATGGAGCACATCAGATGTAAGCAATGTATTAAAAAGATGTTCTTTATCCTCTTGAATGTGATGGAACATCCCAGTGGCCATGTTTTTGGAGGGAGGTTGTACTAGATTAGCTCTTGAAGTCCCTTCAGACCTAAATTATTCTGCGATTCTGTTATTGTGAGGAATATTTTTATTTGAGCTATTTATTTGAAAGAATAAGGACTCAAGTTTGAAAGAAGTTGCTTATTCTGATCTGAGACAAAAATCTTATCCTTGATAGGTTGCAATAATACGTTAGGGTTTCAAACCATCTCCCTTTTTTTCTCAGTTATAAACCAGTCCATAATGTCATAGACATGCACAAGTGAAGGGATGCTGACTGATGGAGACTTTACATCTAGACTTAAAATGGATCATTGTCAGTCCAAGGAACTACAGAAAAGACATTGCATTTAGTGTAAGCAATAATGGGATATTTAGTATTCTGTCCCAAATGCTGTAATTTAGAGAATAACAGCAGACATTGTTTATCATAGATGAAGTTTTTATCATCTCGGAACTTCTCTGAAAAATGGTCTTTCTAAAAAAGACAAAGACCCTGTGTGTTGAAGCAGTGACCAATAAACAGTAAAGATCAGTTGCAAAGATCTGAGAGGACTCCTTGCTTCAGATGTGTTAAGAAACATTATCAAATATTCTAAGTTCTTAACTGCCTAGAAAACTTTTTTTTTTTTTAATACCTCAATTAGCAATTTCTCTATCTCCTGGCGGGAGATGAGGAAGAACACGCCGTGCTCTTGTGTAATTATTTTCTTGGTATGGGGAAAAAAGCCTGGCTTATCATTGGAAATGCCATTCCTGAGGTAAGAGGATTCTTTCATTTGGCCTAAGTATTAACTTTTATTTTGTGAAGTCTTTGGCCCCCAACAATGGATAATTGTTTCTTGCTGGGATGTTTTTCCAGGATATTATCTAAAGATTGGTGCTGGGCACTGATTCTTTTCAGAGAAGTAAATAAAAAATTGAAAGTATTTCTTAGTGTATGTCTGGGGTTTTTTTCCTGGACCTAAATTTCCATGCTTAAACTGGTAGTAGTTGTCATCATCATACAGTACCAAGCATCTGTAACCCTTCATTTGACTTCAGCTTGTATAAATGGTGTATCCAAAACAAATTGATGGAGACAGGCCCTTCACAGCATCTCACAGGATCTAACTGAATTTGTGTGGGATTTGGTACAGGTTCAGAGGTGATAGGAGAGGCCCAGGGGCATGCCAGGGGTTCTTAGCGGTCACACACATGTGCTGATTCTCTGGCTGATGGCAGAGCTTCAGCAATAGTAAAGATAGATTTGTTCAGGCTGGACAAGTGCCTCTCCCTCTGCTCACTGTAATGCAGGCAGGTGAGGTGTGTGCTCTGCCTTGGGCTGCTGGGAGCCACTGAGCCAGCAGCTGGGCTCAGACTGGCCCAGAACTGAAACACTGGGCTTGTGTTGCTGCTTTGGGAGATGCCTTTGTTCTCAGGGAAGCACTCAGATTTCCAACTAACCAATACTGCTCTTTTCAAAAAGGTGGTAACTGTTTATAATGCAAATTTCTACATACATATGAAAGGCTTTTTTGGTAAAAATTTCTGTCTAACCTACTTTCTTAAGCACATTCTGAGATACTGCAGTGGCAGGAACAAGTACCCAGATACATTCCTTCCCCTCAAAATCTGATTGAGATGCTAGTCATTAGCAAAACGTTTGTAAGGAGGGAGTTTACTCCAGGTATTTCAAGATACTTGGAAAATATAAGGGATGACAAGAACACAGGAGAGCAGTTCAGGGATTCCTGATAGAGAATATAAAGAGAGCTGGGAAATTCCTTGCATGCCAGAGAGGGAGGCTGATGGCTGAGACACAGAGTGTGCTGCCTGGATGGGAGTCCTTCAGCTCCGAGGTTGCCCATGGATGAGAGCTGTGGCGGTAGCAAAGCAGGATGTGTTGATACTGAAGTGGCACCTGGTAAGCATTCCTGTATGTGGAATTTCACATTGTTTGTAGTGAGACAAGAGCTTTCAGACTCTATATGTTAAGAATGGCTCGGAGCTCTGCATGTCTGACGTTTCTCTGCCACATTATTATACAAGTGTTGAACTGTAATGAACCTGTAAATTCTTCCAAGCAGTTTGCTCCAAAAAGCACTATCAACCTCAATAGTAAAAATTTAGTATTACAAAGAATAGAAAGCATACTGTCCTTGTAGCCAGTTTTCAAACATCTTTCTCATACTTTTTTTTTTCCCTTCCTAGGGACCAACTGCATATGTATTAACTTTGGAACAAAGTCAGTATGTAATTTGGAATCCCAGTACTGGATGTTTTTATGGGCAGTATGATACTTTCTGCCCCTTACAAAATGTCTACTCTCTGATCAGCTGTGATAATGTAAGTGTGCCCAGTCTTGTCACATTTCTGTACACATGAAAGTTAATAACTTGATTCTCTTTTTTGGCATCATTTGTTTTTATTGTAAACATGTTTAGGCTATCATTTATTAGAAATATTATTAAATCTTAAGTAGGTTTTTAAGCTACTTCAAATAAGAGAGATTTTTTAATTAGCATTTAGGTGGATCAAGAAATTTGTTAATGTAATTTTCATTATTGAGTTTTACTTACATGTTTCCCAGAGTGCATGGGCTTAGATTACAACTGCTTAGGTGAGAAGTAGTCATTCCTCAAAGGTAATAGTTTGCAGGTGAAATGTGGCTGAAAAATGAGAAAAAAAGTATAAAGAGTCACTTGCGTTGCCCATGTGACATTAGGCACAGCCTGAATGGTTCAACATGCACAACACAGAGCTGGCACCTCAGGGCACAAAAACAATACTGATTTTCTGCTTGGCATCAAGTCCTCCCATTTATTTGAAAATAAGCAAGTAATACTGGTGCATGTTCATAATGTATTATTCATTGTGTGGCAGTAAAACCCTCTGAGGCAGCGGGGTGAGAGAGGAGAGACTGTAGAGCTGTGCAGCTCTGGGCAGGTGAAGGAGTGGCCACGGGCTGGGAGCTGAGCCTGTGCTGGGAGGATCAGAAACCCTGGGAAGTGTCCTGCCAGCAGCATTCCCTGACTTGGTTGGAAGCCAGACCTCCCACGTTCTGGGGACACAAACAAGGTCGTGATAACAAGGTAGAAAGATGTGTGAAGGTTTGAAAATGAGAAAATAGAAGGCAAACTAAAAAAAAAAGAACCCTAGGGTTTATTTGAATAGAAACTGGATGTTGAGTGTAAAAGTTTGCTCCTCAGTTTTTTGGAATGCCATGCATTATGAGTTTTGTTTTGTTATTTAATCTCCTGTGTTCTATTCTAAACACAGATCCTAACTTTAGATGAGAATTTGATATTATAAAGTACATTTATTTTAAAAGTGTCACTTCTTTCACTGAAAGCATTTTGGGGAGTGGCAGAGTTGTTTGGTTTGGTGTTTTTGTAAGCAGTTCTAGACCTACAGTTAAGAAAAACGTAACTTAGTTGTTAATTGCTGGCAGAAGCAAGTAAGGACTTGAGCACTGACTTGAACTGCAGAACACAACAACATTCAAGGCACCTAATTCCATCTCAGTGAGACTGAGCAGTCTCAGCCAGGAGAGCCACACCACCTCACATGCAGCTGGGGCAGAACTGGCTGTCCTAGAAGGCTCTACAGAACCTCAGTTACAAAGGATCACACACATTTACATAGTAAGTTGTGGTACATTTTGCAACCTTAGAAATAGTTATTTAAAGGTTGCTAGAACAAGAATCCTACAGTGCCTGCATGCTCCAGACTAGGCACAGAGGCCAAAAGGAATGTCTGTAAAGAAGGGGAGTGCAAGACATGGGTTCCACTTGCTGACAAAATGTGCACAGGAGCTGTGACTTGTGTGTCTGCAGTCTCTGCTTGTATTCTGCAAGGTACACTTAGAAGAGCAGTAGTGTTGGGGTGCAGCAGCTACCAGGCATCACAGCCACAGCAGCACTGGGGTGGGCTTTTGGAGGAATTTAATCAGAATTCAGAAGGAATTGTGCAGCAGTCCACTGGGGTGGAAATGCAGCTCAGAACAGCAGAAAAAATTGCTACAGGAGGCTAACATTATATAGTATTTTATTGCTGTGTAAGTGGAATGTGTTCCATAGGTGTTGATTATATGCTGAAAGCTAAATCAAATTTGCTTTCCTGTAGATTTGGTTTAATATGCAAGAATATGATTCCCCAGGAAGGATATATTTTGATATCAGCAAACCAAAACTTTGGAAGCCTTTCTTTTCAAGAAGTTTGCCATTCCCTGGTCTCCGCAGCATTCAGGTATTGATGGATCTATTGCTAACTCCAAAAGAGGGATTAAGACATCACAGACTTGGTATAAAGAAGCAGATATTAAGTTCTTTGGAATTCTTTGGTTAAGTATATTTATGTAATGGCATTGGTTTTTAAAAAGATTTCCTAGTTATTCCTTTAAAAAATGAAAGCAGGGATACTGAAAAAAGTTGATTTTATACAGAATTAATGTATTTGTCCTCTATCTAAGATCTCAGGGCAACAGTGAAGTAAATGGAATACATCTTTAACATAAACATATCTAAAGTAGTAACTCAGTATTATAAAGAAAAAGTCAACTTTTGTCTCATGGCTAAGAAGGCATTTTTTTCATGCTGTATGAACATCACTAGTAAAAAGCCAGAAATTTCTGTACAGGGATGAAAGGTGTAAACAGTTCAAATTCTCTGGGGGCGGGGGGGGGGGGGAGGGGGGGGGGGAACCCAGAATTACACACAAATACCTAGTTAAATTTTTATCATGTCTCTGTTAAAGAATAGATTATTTTTGCATAAATGTAAACTTCTGTGAGCATCATCAAGGCAGAAACTCCTGAAGTTACATTGTTGTATGTTTAGAAGAGATTGCATGTTTTAATATTTATGTATTTATTACTAGCCTGAAGAACTAACTTATGAGCATTCAGATAAGGCTGCTGCACTGGAACTGCAGAGCAGGTAATGCTACCTCCAGAACAAGTGCCATCAGTGCTAATACTAGAGCATTCCTAGGTATTCATGCCTAGCTCCTAAAAATCTGCTTTCAATGCCAGGAGAATGGCCTAAAAAATCAGAAGCTATTGTTTCAGGGCTTTTTAAAATTCTCTTTTTCAATAGAGATTGCCAGGTAGAAAGAACTAATCAGTCATTGCTCTACCATTTCACAAAGAACAAAATGCTGTGGGGGGATGAGAGGAGAGGGTGTAAAGTAAAAGGGGTTGTAATTCCATGGCTTCCCATGCAGACATTGACAGTTCAGACATTACTACACAGCTCTGCTGGCTTTTCTGCACTTTTAGTGAGCAGTAAGTTTAACTGAGGTCATGTGTGGTTCTCAGAATCTGTACTGGTCTGCCAAGGGAGATCAGTTCAGATGTCCAATACTAGAATTGTAATAATCAGTCTATCTTACTGCAGGATTGAAAAAATATTAAAGGATAAGATTATGGAATGGAGACCAACGCGCCCAACACGTTGGAACAGATACTGCACCTCCACCCTCCGTAACTTTTTGCCGCTGCTGGAACAAAATCAAGGCAAAGATGTAGAAGATGACCATCAGGCAGAGCTGCAAAAACAGCTGGGAGATTACAGGGTACACTTGTGAACATAAATGGCGTGTGCATAGAAGCAGGAAGTTAAATCCCTAGGTTTTAGAATCGCCACTCCATGGTACAGAAGAGTGTCCTAGGCTAGTTCTGTCTTCTACTACCAAAATACACAAGAGATTTTATACCAAAGAGAAACCATTATAATATTAATAGAGTGAAGGAGTGATGATCTGGTTTATTTCATTTGTATGTTGAAGATGAAACAACAATGCACCCAGTTAACTTTAGATTGTTATGCTCAGCAGAAACATGTATTGCTGCACAACAGCCACCACTGCAGTACATCAGCACCAGTGCAGTCTCCCAGCAGCAGCTCTCAGTCAGTAGGAACCTGCTGCTGGTGCTGAGTAGTGCTACACACAGTCTACTTACAGGCACAGGAGCCCACACAACATGCTTTTCTTCAGTTTTTAGTCTTTGCTTCACTCTCTAAAATTGACTGCTGTGTTCACTGCAGCCACTGGTGTGCCTGTGCATTATTCCTCCAGGCTGTTGGAAGGGCCTTTTGCTTTCCACATGGAACATCTGCGACAGTACTGGCAGCTCTGGCCAGCTCCAAAATGAGTTGAGGTTTCGGTTCCTGTTGAGCAGGAGACATTTGCTCAAATCCCAGGCCAGAAGAAGAGTGATTTAAAACCAGCCAAAAGGCAAAAAAGCAGTGAAGTTCTACTATATGTGTTCATTAATATAACTTTATTCTAGTGTATTCTAAAGAAATACACTTTGAACTTAAACCAAATTAAAGCGGAAAAATGGCAGAAGATTTGCCTGGAGTATGTGAAAAAGGGAGGTGTTATCAAAATACAAACATAAGTTCTTCTATTGCATCACCTCAGGCTGGCAATAGAGAAGATAATTTGTTTTACTCAGCATGTAATTTTTTTTAACTATGTATTTATTCAGGCGCCTTCATCTTTTCTTCTTACATGTTTTCTTTTCTTTCTTTTTCCAGGTCTCTGGATTTCCTATTCATATGCCATATTCTGAAGTGAGACCTTTAATAGAAGCTGTACATAGCACAAGAGTTCACACCATTGATGTTTCCAATGTTGAATTTGCTCTGGCTGTGTATGTTCATGCTTATCCCCAAAATGTTCTCTCTGTATGGATTTATGTTGCTTCACTTGTGCGAAATAGGTAGTACAGACCAGTCTGAATACTGCAGGAAATTTGCTTATATAGGTGTAAATATATGATTTCTCTCACTGCTGAACTATTCCAAGTATTTTAACAATCAAATGACAACATGATTTTTAGTAGCTTTATGTGCCCTAAAACCTAATTATTATTATAAAAAATAATTATTAAATGTGCCCTAAACTAATTATTGCTAAGGAAGAGACTGACAGCATAAATTTCCAGTACTAATAGGTGTATATACAGTCTTTTATAGCTTCCTGTGGGACCTTACACTCTTAAAGCATTACACGTCCACATATAAGTGACAGTGCAGAGTAAAATGTTTCCTTGGTATCCCTGTAGCTAGGCAGTTTATCTACAGATGATCTTCCTCTTCAAAAGACACCTGTAAATAAAAAAATTCCTGTACCTTAGTTCCTGAATTTTTAGCTATGAATAAATTTCATATACCTAAGAGCCATCAGTGAAGAGACCATACTTCAATTTTTGAGAGGGTGCGTCATATCCTGCTCTGTATTTTGTCTGTATAATGCCAGCACCATTTAAAGCTGGAAGACATTTTCTTAAGAAGTTAAAGACGAAGGATTTAATAAATATTTTTATTAAACCTTAAGCAGAAGCTCATTCCTTTTATACATGAATTTGATTAAATTACTTAGGAGTATGAAATCCTTGTCTGCAAGTTAGCAAACTTGTGAGTAGATGTTTATCAAAAGAATAGTTAACTAAAAATCAAATTCACTTACTAGTATATAAGTAGTTGTGCTGTTAATACTGATATACATATTCTTTTCCTGCTGTTATCCTGCTAATCAGACTCTTCAACTGAAAATGGCAGTGGGCTGAGCTTAGGAAGGGTCAGTCACCCTTCTACAGGCCCCACTAGAAAGTACATTGTCATCACATGATGCTGTGCTGAACACTGACGGCATCTCCCAAGCTTATTCCATGATGTATCTGCAGCTCATTCCATCCTCAGCTGTGTCTACACTCACCAGTGTTTTTCTTACCTTACTCTTCCGTTTAGCGTGACCAAGATGGTGGCAAAACTTGCAGTTTCCTCCAGTAACCTCTAGCTCTGCCTGCACACTGACTTCCCAGACACCTTTCCCTAGAAACTTGAAAGCTACTAGGTCACCGTGACTGGTGTTCTAAATAAATAGTACTCAAAATAATTTATCCAATTAGTAAAGCAGGTAAAAATTACTAGCTTTGTATTGTTAGTCCTAAAAATTAGGCACAATAGGAAAAAGAAAACAACCTGTTTGCCTTCTACAAAAGCAAACACCTGCCCCTCCTCTGCTGTAGAAAAAAACCAGCCTGCAACTGTGCCAACCATGAGCAGCTGGCCATTGAAGTTTACAACTTGCCATGGGCTACAGTACTCATCCCTCACACAGTGTGCCCTCCCTCATACCACCACACCCACACATCTCTCTTCCTAGCACACATTTCACTAACCACAACACATTATCTGCGCCCTGCCAGTCTCTACTGTTCAGAGAGGAATCTTTTTAACTATCAAACAAGGGGGGAAATGTATTGCTGTCTTTCGCAGAGTTCAGATTAATGAAAACTGACTTCCCTGGAAGCTGTTTCAAAAATGCAACTTAGCAGAGTCATAGGAACCATAAAAACAAACCAAAACCCCCATGCACACTCTACAGCTAACAGCTCTGCAACCATGACAACACCCTCCCACCTGCCCAACCTCTGCAGCTTCTGGCATGGCACTCTAAAAGCACAGATATTCAACCACTGCACACATTTTTTTATTGGTGGGAATGTTTTATTTATGTCTTTCAAGCCCAAATACAAAACCAAATGCAAAAGGAAGTTGGCAATTTCCCTAATTTTGCAATATAAAGAACAACTTCAGGATGAGAGGAAAGGGGAAGAAACCAGGCTCCTAAAGATGTATAATTGTTACCCAAATGCAAACAGTAAAATTCAAATTCTCTGCAGAGGTTTATATTGTACTTACGGATTCAAAATAAAAAAAAAGAAAGTCACCTAACACAAAATAATTCAGTAAAGTACAGTTAAGTGCCAAAATTGGAATAAAGTGGCATTAAAAAAAATCTGAAGATTTTCCCATCTTCCCCAAATTACGTAAAATAAAACCCAACACCCTTCAAGCCAAATGAGGTTGTGAGATTGTTACAACACTGTACAGTACACTCATAATTAAGATTCTGAAGTTGTGGGCAGGGTCAGGCTAGTATAACAAGTCTCACTCCAAGGATTGTTAACACAAGATGCGAGCTGTAAGTAAAGTGCATGAGAGGAAGCCTGCTCAGCTAAATGAAGTAGACCGAAAGATGAGATGTCAGCGGTCATTCGCCAGAGCGGCAGCAGGCCCGAAAACCACACTGCAAATTCTGGCATCCACTGGCGGTTTCAGCATGAGGACCTGCACAAAAACAACAGAACCGTGAAAAGAAGGAAAGGCCACTCATTTAGATTCATAACTCTCAAACTGGTGATTCAGAAAAGTATCATTTTTTACAATGCACTACACTTCATTCAGTACTGTGAAGTCCGAAATGGTGCCGGTACTATCACGGTGTCAAAACCTCACTTGGAACAGGTATTTTTCAAGAATTTTTGCTTCATAGCTTAGTCCTACGAAGATAACACATCCCAGATTACACAGAAGTACCATAAGCAACACTAAATGAGCAACTTTTCACAAGCTGCCACAGCTTCAGAACTGAGTGGTTTTGACAATGTACTTTTAATTCCCATTTTTCAAATTCAAATGATCATTACCAAAGAAACCATAACCTCCAAAACTATGTCTGTGGTAATGGAAACAGCTTTTTAGCCAGGAAGTATTTTTTTTCCTCCATGAACTCTTCATGGTTGGCCAGACTCTCACATACTCTTGACTAGAAATTCAAAAGCTAAAGACACAATCACCTTAGCATCGCTGCAGTCATCAGAAGCCATAAGGCTAAAAATGAGCCATTCAGAAAAACGAATGAGTTGCAAGCACAGAAAGCACAAACCAAGTCTACCCACCTCTACTTACCTTCACTTACTCCTTTAATGTAAAATGTTAAAGTGACCATGAGATAAGAAATTACTGTATTTATTCAAACAGGGTTTTATTTCCTGTAGCCATAAGCCTGCTTTGAGACCCATTTACACTCAGGCTGGCTGAACTCTAGCACCCAACAAACACTGGAAGTGGGTTGCTGAGCCAATTCATAAAAGCTGGTGAAGACCTAACCAGGACAACACAAATTTTCCCCATTTGTTTGAGAAACAAATCAACAAATATTTCAGGTGTTTTTAATGTATATAGAAATTCTAACAAAATCTTTTAATGAACTAGGGCACTATGCCATACCTGGCTTTTTTTACCTCCTTCAACAGTAAAGCCATAATTCAATTAAATTTCCAAGAATCTGGGGCCTTGAAAACAGCTTCCTACTTCATTCCACAGACCAATAAGCAATACTTTATATTGTAAATAAGTTAAGATACATGAGACTAAAAAAAACCTGAAACTGTAATGAAAGATTAGTTAAGTGAACTTTTCATTGGTCAATAAAGTCATTTTCCTTTTCAAATCTTTTTATTCACCTGAACTAAATTTTGATCCTCCACGTCACTTACGAGCTAGTTTGAAAGCTTCTTCGCAAGTCCTTTAGAAAGGAGACTCGGTGCTTCTGAACAGCTGGTTTAGCAGAGCATGTTCTGTGCAGCAGCATTTTCCAAGTCGTAGCTGACCTTCCCCAGCACTGCCACAACTACACAGCACAGTAGTGATTCTGAAGCAACTGTCACATTTCTAGCAAAATGCTTGTTGACAAACCATAAAATCCCAAGGAAGGGAATTCTCATTATAATTCAATATTGTTTTCCATCCTTTTCTTTCTCATTTTGTATTCCTCACGCTCCTAACTGGAACATACCAATTTCTAGGTCTGACCAATGCTCCATCTAACACTACCTTCACCACTGGCGACAGCAAGTGGTGTCTAGGGACAGCATATAAGCCTATCATGCACACCTTTTGTGTTTTTCCAGCAACCCTAACTGTTGCATCAGGGACACTGAAGTCCATTTCCTTCAGTACTTGTTTATGGCTCAGTTGTGCATGCAGCTTATAACCTCTTTTTAAACCTCCTTCTGCAATTCTCCACAGGACCAAGTTCCAAAAGTTCACTACACTGTGCATCTGTGTAAAATTCACCCAGTGCCCCTGAGCTCTAACACTGCAAAACTTGCAGAATTACCACTGCACATTGACCTCATCTACTGCTTTAGCGTTTCTGGAACAGTCATGCCCCCTTTTCAGCCATCTCATTCCCAGATTGAACATGCATCCTTCTGAGTGTTCAGTTCCCTAACTTTTTAGAAGGCCTCTTCTGTATCTTCTGTAACTCCAGTGTATACTCTCCTCAGGATGGGGAGACCAAACCCATCATGCAGTGTTCCACATGTGAATGCCCCAAGGCTTCCAGGACCATGCACAGCACCCTCTATCTTGTTCTCACCACCCTGACGATGGTAACATTGGTGGCTTTTTTGGCTGCTGCTGCAAATAGGAAAGATCTCAGAATTAGCACCAACAGCTCTCTGAAATCATTGTCTCCACACTGCACCTGCCAGCTCTGAATTCTGTTTCATGCAATCACAGTTTGATTTTTCCCAGCCACCCAGACCTTCAACCACACATACAGCTACAGTGAAGCTTCCAGAAATCATCAGCATTATTATCATTACTTAAAGACCACACAGCACCACTCAAAAACGTGGAAATTACTGTGTGCATTTCTTACACCACAAGAAAGACTGATCTCAGCACAGAACTCATGGGAGAACAGGGAGAAAGTTGTCACCTCCCAGGTTCCTCTCCTGAACAATGACCATTAAGCCCTTTCTTGTTAGTTAGCTTTCAGTTTTTAAATTTAAACCACTCTGTCCTGGGTTGACTATATGATGCTTTTATCCCCAATTGTCTTGTTCTAACAGCAACTTAAGATCTGAAAAACTTGGATACTTCTAAGTAAACTGGACCATCTGAAAAGCTTTTATATTCGTTTCCCAATTTATTAGGCACTGACTTACAAATTACATTAAGCATATCACAGTGAAATTTCACCCTTCTTCCCACACTGCATTTCTTGTCCCATGTCTAATCCTCATACCACCACTAACTTTCCTTTATAGCCTGTAATAAAGAATTCTGATAAAATGAAACATTCAGGGTTCAACCACATCTTCTGAAATCTGCCCTCCTAGTACTCTTTCTTAGCATATATGGGCAATTCCCATCATTCTGAGGGTGTTTTATGCTCTTATTATAACAAGGTAGTAAGTATCATTGATGGTTGTTTTAACAGTAAGGCCATCTGAGTTTGAGTTATTTATGGTTTGACATGTCAGTTAATCTCCTCCACCACAAGTCATTTACCTCCTCTATAAAATCCCTAGTGCTTAGTTTGTTCTTTTTTACATTTGGTACAGACAGCAAATTCAAATGCCTTTACTTTTGATAGCCACAGACACCGGGTTTGTTTCCCTGGTTTTATTTATGATCACTGACCTTTGGCTACATCACTTTGGCTTCCTAACCTCTGACTTCCCCAGTCTTTGCTACCGACCTCATTCGGACTAGACTTTGTTTTAGAATTCTCTCAGTTTAAATTCAAATGGCCTCTCTAATCTTGCCAAAAGAATACTGTCTTCTGTTTCCTCTGTGTATGAGGTCTCCAACTCCTCTCACCTCACTGATGCATTAGGTTAAGCAATATGGTAACTGCATATATTCCTTTCATATTGTCCAGTGTGATGGGCATTTCAACCTAACAGTGGAGATGAATCACTTCCACAGAATCACAGCATAGTTTGGGTTGGAAGGGAGCTTTAAAAGTCATCTAGTTCCAACCACCTTGAAATAATCAGGCACATCTTCAACTAGATAAGGTTGCTCAGAAACCCCTTTCAGCCTAACCCCAAATGTGCTCAGGGATGAGTCTTGCACCACCTTTCCGGGCAACCCGTTCCACTATCTCCCATCTTCATTTGCCCATTACCGCTTTCAGCACAGCCCAGTTAGCAATGTACTGTGTATCTAGGAGGACACTGCTCCATACAGCAATTTCACACACTGCATACTTTGAAGA